AGCTGACAATATACTTTTTACGCCACAAATAATGTGATTATCTCTTGATACAATCCTTATCAGTAATCCTTTCACACAATCTTTTTCAAGGTGGGAATTAATAATCTCAATTAAGTATAATTATAATCAACAAATGGCAAAGGACGTTTTGACTTGGAGGTATCACATCTATATTACATTCTCTCAACACACAACAACCTTCAATATTAGCTTTATAGATAGATCACTTGATTAGTGGTCACGTGCCAAAGATACTTGTTCTCTCATAAAATCAACAAAGTTACTAATTGTTGCACCAAATCTAGTACATTATTAACACTAATTAAACCTTAGCTAGCTTTTTAATTTCTTCCTCTAGGGTTGGCAGGGAAGGAACATATGAGAAAACTTCTCTTACAAGTTACTAATAAATTCAAAAAAAAGTTATTGGGCATAGTAGGTAATATTATGAATTAATTAAATAATGTTAATCTAAAAATCTAATTGAAAGATATACATGCATCATGCATGCATCAGTCAATTTGAATGTGTGTATATAAATTGTGAATCGGACAAATGAGAAAGAGCCACATTTTACCTAGCTAACTTGTCATAATACTTTCTTTGTTTAGACATCTATCAAAATCATTATTATCTAATTTGCTAATTATCCCTCTCATTATATTTTTGCTTTAAGTCATGGCCTTATTATTATTATTATTATTCAAACCCTTGTTTCTCCTATGCCTTTTACTATCGATTAACTCATGGAAATCAATCGCAGAGAACGACCCAAAGTACATGTACTACCCTTTCATCGAAGAGGCGAGCGCATTTGCTACACCAACAACACCGTATGGAGGCTCATTCTCATCGTCTCCATACGGTGGGAAATCGAGTTATGATTACATCATAGTAGGGGGTGGGACGGCGGGGTGTCCCTTGGCGGTCACCTTGTCACAACACTATAATGTGCTACTATTGGAAAGAGGAGGGGTGCCCTTTGACAAGTTTAATGTGAGCTTTATGGAGAACTTTCACATATCATTGGCAGATACTTCGCCGAGCTCGGCCACCCAACAGTTTACGTCTACGGACGGAGTTATGAATGCAAGGGCTAGAGTCCTTGGTGGTGGAACTTGCATCAATGCTGGCTACTACTCTAGAGCTAGCCCAAGGTTTGCTTCTTTTCATTATTCATCGAATTATTATTTTATTTTGTAGCAATATAATTTGAGCAATACCTAGTCAATTCCCCAGATAAACAAATTTTGTTTATCTGGGGGTATAATTGTCTTTTTAAGTACTAGTGGAGGGATATATGTGTCTTTTTATGTATTAGTTGAGGGGTACATGTGTAATTTTTTAACCAAACAGTAAAAGCAAAAAGCAAACAGTAATTAAACAGCTTACCAAAAGTTCTGAATAAATGACCCTGCCTTTTCAATGTATTTACAAAAATGTCATCAGATTAACAAAAATTCGTTTATTTGACACATTAACTTATATTTTCCCATATAATTTTGCATTAACAAAGACTTAAATCCCGCCCCTTAATTAACAGCCTAACTAGTTACATACTACTTTTTGGGATCAAAATATCAAATCCTACTAGGATCTTTGGGTGAGGATTTTCTTATTCCCTTTTAATTTAACGAGCCTGGCCTATAAAATAAAGTTAGAATTTGATTAATATATGTGAGATTAGGCGGTTTAGTAGAGTCAATTCTTATTCTTATTACTGTCAAAACGGTTTGACAGTTCGGTTTCGGTTCGGTTTGAAATCGGGTCGGTTTGAAATCGGTTTAAATGTCTTACGGGTCGGTTTCAGTTCGGTTTAAATAATTATCGGTTCGATTCGGTTTCAGTTTATTCTTGAACGGTTTAAATTCGGTTCGGGTAGTAAACGGTTCGGTGCAAACGGGTTGGGCTTGTTAACGGTTCGGTGTAAACGGTTTTTATCCCGGTTTAAATTCGGTTCGGGTTGTAAACGGTTTGGGTTGTAAACGGTCCGGGTAGTAAACGGTTCGGTGCTGACGGGTTGCGGTTTGTTAATGGTTTTTCTCCCGGTTAGAAACGGTTCGGTTCTTTTTTAGTTCAGTTTTATTTTAGTTCGATTTATAACTGGTTTGGTTTGTTAACGAGTTCGGTTCTTCTAAGATTTAACATTATTTGGATCAGTTTTATTTTAGGTTTACTAAATTACGGTTCGGGTCTGTTTTTTATTTAAAAAAATCGGATTTTTATCGAGTCGTTCAAAATACTCCTAGTAGGAAGTGGTTTGTAAACGGTTCGAATTATAAGTGATTCGGTTCATAAACGGTTTGGTTTATAAGCGGTTTGGTTTATAATCAGTTCGGTTTATAAATGGTTCGGTGCAAACGGGTTGCAGTTTGTTAACGGTTCGGTGTAAACGGTTTTTATGCCAGTTTAAACGGTTTCGGGTTAGAAACGGTTTGGTTTAGATTTGGTTCGGTTCTTAAACGGTTTAACGTTTACTCGGATCGGTTCGGTTTCGGTTTTACTAACATGCGGTTCGGGTCGGTTTTCGGTTTCATAAAATCGGTTTTTAATCGGTTCGGTTCTCATTCGGATCGGTTGAAACGGTTCAGTTTCACCAGTTCGGTTCGGTTTTTGACAGTGCTACTTATTCTACTTTGTACTGTGTATATTTTTTTACTGAAATGATACTTGTACGTTAGATTGAACGTTCCTTATAACATGTAGCTTTGTGAAGAAGGCGGGGTGGGATCCGGAGCTAGTAAATGAAGCATACACTTGGGTTGAGAACCAAATTGTTCATGCGCCAAAGCTTGCGCCTTGGCAGGCTGCAGTGAAGGATGCTCTTCTAGAGGTTGGGGTGTCACCTTTTAATGGATTCACCTTCGAACACAAGTATGGAACCAAGATTAGTGGCTCCATTTTCGACCAACAAGGCCGCCGTCACTCCGCTGCTGAACTCCTGGCTTCAGCTGACCCTGAAAACCTCGACCTCTACATCCATGCTACCGTCCATAAGATCAAATTTGATACTAATGGTACGTGCCTCCTACAAAACTCTGCCCTATATTATTGACATCTAATTTTGTACAGTCGTAATCAAGGTTGGATAATTAACCTTACAAATTACAAAAAGGACATCACAAATAAATTTATGGAACGGAATATAATAATATACTTTGCGTAACTATTTTCTTATGCTGAAAAGTTGACTGTTGTCGCTATTTACATTCCTTATTTATATGGTATCTGTTTTTTTAGTTGCGGAACAAAGCTAGTGAAAAATTAATTAAAGTTTTATGACTGGTTGATTAAAGTTTATCAAGTTTTATCATTAGTTTCCATATAATTGAAAAAATACAGGAGAAAAGCCGAGGGCGGTAGGGGTGATTTTCAAGGATGAAAATGGAAAGCAACATGAAGCATACCTATCAGAAAGAGAAGGAAGTGAGATAATCTTATCAAGTGGGGCAATTGGGAGCCCTCAATTGCTTCTTCTAAGTGGTATTGGACCCAAGGAAGATCTCATTAACAAGAAAATTCCTCTTGTACTTGACAACCAGTTTGTAGGAAGAGATGTGCAAGACAATCCTCTCAACACCATATTCGTCCCTTTCAAGAAGCATTTGCAACAGTCTTTGCTTCAAACTGCCGGGATAACCAAGTTCGGTGTGTACTTCGAAGCTAGCAATGGGTTCGGTCAGGCCGGTAATAGCATCAAGAGACACAATGGTCTTGTCTCTGCTGAGGTTTGTGCTCATTTTGATGTGCTTCCTATATTAGCCACTTTATACCAAGAGAGTCTCGGTTTTGTTTGAGATTCGAGCTAATGTCGAATCCATATATAAACATTTTTTTTTCACCTGGACAGATTGGACAGCTCTCAACAATTCCTCCAGAGGAGAGAACAGAAGAGGCAATCCAAGCCTACAGAGATGTGAAACAAGATTTACCCTTTGAGGCCTTCATGGGCGGGTTTATCCTAGGAAAGGTGGCGAAACCAATCTCCACAGGTGTTCTGAAGCTTAACACCACAAACATCGACGATAATCCTACAGTCACCTACAATTACTTCAGCCACCCACAGGATTTGAGCAAATGTGTTAAAAGCATACAGATGATAGAGAAGATGGTCAAATCCAAACGCCTCGCTAAATACATAAACAATGACAATTTAACCATGGAGAAGTTGCTGAACATGAGTGTTCAGGCTAATGTTAACCTCATCCCTAAGCACACCAATGACATTCAGTCCTTACAGCAGTTCTGTAAAGACACTGTGGTCACCATGTGGCATTACCATGGCGGCTGCCACATGGGCAAGGTGGTAGATCCTGACTATCGACTTCTTGGGGTTGATAGCCTTCGTGTAATCGATGGGTCCACCTTCGATGAATCCCCAGGAACCAATCCTCAAGCAACTGTCATGATGATGGGAAGGTACATGGGAGTGAAGATCCTCACGGAAAGACTCGGCGAAGGAGCTAATGTATAGAATTGTGTCAATAAGTACTAAAATTCAACTCTAGCCACACTTTGAGTGAAAGATCACCTGCAGTCCTGTATTTCTTGTTTTTTTTTTTTTTTTTTTTTCATAATTTTCCCTCATTTTATCATATAGAGATTTCTTTAGTCCTGAGTCCTCCTTTATAATATATCTCTACTTTGTATCAACTCTTTCTTTAGTTTCTAAGTATACGTACTAGCTAGTTTTTACTTGCTCTGACTTTACATGAAAAAAGAACAAAATTAAGATATGCATTTTAAAAACAGATTTCTTCTAAACACATAGTAACTAGTTTGGTATTGAAACGAAGTGCTCAATTGAGAAGCAAAGAAACATAGATCACAGTAATTCCTCATCAAAGAAAATACAACCTCACTAAAATGGACTTATTGATTTGGACACTGAAATGCTGAAGAACTTGTGTAGAAATTCATACCTCAAATCACAGCAGCCTGAGGAGCCACAGCACGCATAAGTCTCATTCTGTTGAGCTAGAACTCTATAACACCAAGGCTTTAACGGATGGTAATCAAAAGATTAATCAACAATATTTTCACACATCCTACGACAGTATGACTCCAGGGTAATAATATCCAAGCATCTGCCCTTGCTCAGAACACTGCAGAAATTACTATTTAAATCCTTTTCCGTCTTTTAAGTTCAAAGCAGGTTCTAAATACTTCAAATTGTCACTTCTAGATAACAAAACTTCTCATCTTATATGTATTGACACTTGACAGTAGCTAAATTGGTGAATAGCTTAGTATTCTTATTTACTGTGCTCCAGGCCAAAGATGTTCCTTCATGCTCCCTCTTGAAAATCGGCCAAACCTCTGCCAGAATGATTTTTTCTTCCCTGATCCCAGAGGCCCAGAACTGCAATGCATTCCTGAATATTGAAATTCACTGTCTGCAAATTCTGCTGAAACACTTGCCAAATCCACTGCCGATGATGGCAGCTTAGCATCACAACTTGAATCATACCCAAGGGGAGTATAATGAGTCCCAAGGAAAACTTGAAAGTCAGGTGGGATTTGACCACCTTTAATATCTTCACCCACTGAAACCTTTGCCTGATTGGAATCACTCCCTGGTTCTTCCTCATTTGCATCGTTGATCTCACTGCAAACAAGTTTTAAGGCCTGAACAACTTCTCCCATGAAGGGACGGCGGGATACCTCTGGCTGTACACACATAGATGCAATTGCTGCTACTTTGGAGAAACTGTCAAATGGAGCACTCGTCTTTAGGTTGGGGTCCATTACAATTTCCAATCCATCCTTGCTGGTGAGAAGTGGGAGAGCCCATCCTACTAGATTTTCTTGACCTGGTGGGTTCGAAAAGTCTACTGGCTTTCTTCCAGTTAACAGCTCCAGTAGAACTACACCATAGCTGTAAACATCGCTTTTGACAAGAAGATGCCCAGACATTGCATATTCAGGAGCCAAGTAACTGGAAAATAAAACAAGTTAGACTATTAGGAATAAAATGATTTGAGTTTGCAACAAGTTTTTATCAGAATTTTAAACTAGTCTTCCATAAGTTAAGAATGGAGAAGAATCATATCAATAAATAAAACCATTAGAGAGAGTATTATACCCAAATGTCCCAATTACATGAGTTGAGATGGGTTGGTTTCCCTCATTCAATGCATTTCTGGCTAATCCAAAGTCAGACACTTTTGGTGTGAAATCTTGTTCTAACAAGATGTTACTGGCCTTAAAGTCACGATGTATGACACAAGGGTTTGAATCTTCGTGTAGGTAGGACAAACCTCGAGCGGCCCCAAGGGCAATTTTCATGCGGGTTGCCCAATCAAGTGGAGCAACAACTTCCTTGGCAACTCCTGGGATAAACATAAATACATAATCATTTTTGACATAAATATTTATAAAAGTATCTCAACTTAACAATAAATAGAATTAGATGTCCAAAAGGAAAACTTGGCTTTTACCATGCAAGTGGTATTCAACACTTCCATTTGGAACCAGCTCATAGATGAGGCACCGAATATGATACTCTGTGCATATGCCTAGCAATTTAACAAGATTCTTATGGTGCAAACGGCTTAGCATCTCAACTTCAGATAAAAATTCATGTATTCCATGGCGTTTATCCCTCTTCAGGACTTTAACAGCCACTTGTTCTCCATCATCAAAAATGCCTCTGTACACTACCCCAAATCCACCTTCTCCAAGGATTCTCGAAGAGTCAAATCCATCAGTGGCGATTTCAATATCATGAAGACTAAAGATTTTGGCAGACCCTGTAAAGTTTAGCATCCCAGAGCCAAAAGACAATGAACTACAAAGAGATTTGGTACCTACCGCCAAAGATCTAGCAGCTCCTGTTTCATCAGATCCAAAAACTGTATAATCAGCCATTTACAAGTACAAAAACGATTTCCTACTAAATGACAAAAGGTTGAATTCAGCATATATCATAATGAATTCTGAACAAAATTCACTCAATTTTCCAAAACATATGGTATTTTTTGTTCTATTTCTAGTTAAGCACCTTAGGAGACTAAAGGTTTCTAATACATGCTAGCGCCACAATTTCTACAAGAGCAAACATACAAAGCAGAATAAATGAGAGCATATCTACGAAGGCAGGCCAAAGGATAGCACAATAAAAGGTCACGAAAAAAATATATAATAAGTTTCTATAAACCCCATCACAATTATCTTTGAAAATAAATTAAAATAGCGATATGACTATGAATAACTAATAACAGCACAAGCTGAATTGGGGAGATATATATTTAGCAAACTTCAACATATTATACAGAAATTCGTTATTATTTCTGGTACCTGATGGCTTTGTAAAGGAAGACACCTCAGTCATTAGAGCCTCTTCAGGATGAGGACCAGAACATCTATGTCTGGCTATCAATATCCATGCAATACCAGCACATGTTAAAAAAGCTGTTATTGCAGATATTATTATCACAGCTTGCATGCTTCTATCACGACCACCAGTAGTTTGTGTTCTTGGTATATCAACTCCCAGAGGCTTTGATGAACTCCCACCATTGCCCTTAAAATTAGCAGGAAAGGGATGATCATCTATAGCAGCAAGATTTGAAGAAAGAGAAGGTGGGGAAGGTGGAAGACCTGCAGAGGGAGCAAAGAATGACACAAGTGAGACATTATACAGATTTCTCTATTAATTTAAGAAAGAATTTATCTTACAATTGTTCCATTAAATATTATTACTTTATTCATCAAGGAAATTGAGCAGCTGTTAATTTGTACCATCACAACGAGAGTATAAGATAAAGAGGTAAGTAAATATCCCCAAGATGATGGCTAACCTGGATAGTGAACGTCTAGCACATCATAAGCACCAAAGAAGTTGGGATTTACATGAATTTGCTTGCGCCAAAACTTCTCATACAGTGAAAATGCAGCAGCATGTTTGAATTTTCCATCTAAAGGAACCAAGTTCACAAGAACAGTAGTTTTTTCTAGCTGCTGGCTTGCAGCATTTGCTCCCATGATGCGAACTTGACTCTGATTAAATGAAAGGCTTGATGAAATGTCTGCAGCCAGCTTAGAGACCAAAGGAAAAAATCTGTATAGAGCAATATTGAGTCGCAATCTGACTTGCATTGGCCACACACAACCACAGGAAGATCCAGATGGCGTGTACGTCATTGGTTCCACACATGTTATTGATGTACAATCTACATATTCAATGAAGATAATCAAGACTGAGATGGTAAGGTTCTACTTAGACAAGTAGAAAATCAGATATAGCAAGAAAATAGAAAAAGCAAGTGGTTACCTTGATTAGGAGGTGGAGATGGTAATACAAATGTCGAAGACGGAGGAGGAAACATCTTTACTGAAGAGCTCAAAGGAGAGATTGAGGGTGGCTTAAAAGGCCCTAGCCAATACAATGAAACAATATCAGTTATGTCGCTCTGTCAGCACATTATTGCATAATTCAGAAAATAATTGTTTGATCAACATACCGGAAAATCTATTAATTTGGCAATTGTAGTTATTGATTACTACCAAGAAAGTACAAAAGAAGGCAATTGTTAATTAACTTATACTTCTACTAACTTTGCCAATCTATTGATGACGGTGCAGGCATAGGTGACTTCTGGCTTGAGGTTGAAGAATAGGGGGACCGAGATGGAGTGATCTCGTGAGCAGGGTGCATAGCTGCCATAAGAATTCCATAAGACATAAGAATTTATTGGTAATAAACATATATTTGTACAATTCAAGCACCTATATCCAAATTCAAGCAATCAGACAAGTAGCTGATTGCATAAGCTCTGAGTTCCTACCTTTAATATTTGAATGTGCACATAAAGATTGTAAACAAACCAAGCCTAATCACCATGAGCATTTATCATAACTAATTGTACTCTTGATGGGGGAAATTATTAATTCCAATGGTCATGAATAAAGAGCTTTCACACTTGTGAAGATGCTTTGCAGAGTATTAAATAAAAATTGCAACAATGTATGCAACAAAAAAAGCCATAGCCATACAGCATAATTAATGAAACATACATTGATAACCGTGTGGAAGAGGAGAAAGCAGGTTTGATGGTCCTGCAGCTGATTTTTCATAATGGTTCTTCTCATGGTGATGATGATGACCACGATGATGCTCAGAATATGAATTTTCATGGGAAGAACCCAGGGAATTGATCTGTTCCCTTGGGACATGTCGAAAAGGAGATTCAGCAGGTGGAGGGGAGGCAAATGTAGGACTATTAGAACCATGCAGGGTAGAAACTGTGACAAGAAATAACATTATGGTTAATTCCACAAAGTGGACAGGCAATAGACTCATGACTAAATCAACACTCACAAAAGTCACAATTGTGAGTTAAAGTATATTTCTTTGAATGAATACCTTTGCTAAATGAATGACTCCTATAAGGAAAAGAATTGAACGTGCTTTTATGAGGTGCTGCAACCGGATGTCCATAACTGTCGCTGCTGAAGACAGGCGTAGCTGCTGGAGATACAACATGGTCTCTTGCATCTAAAGCCAAAATTAGTTATTTAACATTTGTTACCAGAAACACTACGCGTAAACATCGTTTTCCAAATAAACTAAAGAGCCTAGAAATGAAGAAGAGTAATTAATTCAACTCACAGTACATTATTCGCCTTCTATTATGCTACGGAATTCTATTAAGCATTAATTAACTACTGATGCACTTAAAATAATACAGCCCATACCAAACAACACATATCTGCCACAGCAAACGTGCACATGGATATGATATAAGATTCCAAGTTATTACTAAAACCTGAAGTACAGACACACTGTATTCTAAATTAATTGCAGTGGACCATATAATTAAAAAAAAGATTACACTCAATAAATCTACACTTACTTAGAATTTTTACTCATTGCCAAGCAAATTAACAATGCTTTACAGACCTCTACAGGTACTCATTACCAAATCAGTATAGTAGTACACATTTGACTGTCTATCATAGTAATGGATAATTCTACATTTCTACACAAAATTAGGAAGAACTTGAAGGAATCAGCTCAACTTGACATCATTTTCTTGCCAGAAACCTATTAAACTGATTGAATTTTCACCGACAGTTGTAGTCGAATTTTAGTGCTCAATGATTTTACACATGAATCCTAATGAAACACATGATTCTAATACACCAAGAATTACTAATCATGGATCACTCACTGACATCGATTTCAAAACTGAGACAGAAAGATTGCACATTTTGTCAATGAACAATACTGAAATTCCAACAACATAATAACAGAAGTCAGCACATTGATCCAAATCAACATAACTTCACAATTTAAGCACACAAGACATAACAATGTAGACATGAATAATCAAAATCATACTTGGAACATAAATACAGTAAAACCCCATTACCTGCAGATCCAAGAACTGGGAAAGAACACACAATAACAATTATTCTGAGCACCAACAAATTCATCATCTCCCACCTTAAAACCTTGATTAATGAACTCAATTTTCTCATCTCATGCATAAACCCAGTATTGAAACTAGTAAAATTTCAAGAAAAAGAAGTGTAACTTGAATCAAAAATCTGAAAACTAATATGGGTCATGATTATTTTCTTCCAAAGACTTAAATTTTCAAGAAAACCCCACAAATAAAAAATTTGAAGAAAAGTAATGAAAATGCTGTTTAGTGGGAGCACAAAAAATGGGTTTAGGTGGAAAGCACTAGTTAACAACTAAAATGCTTGATTTGATAATAAATCTTTGAATTTTCACCCAAAAAGATTGAAAATTTAGCAAAATTAAGTATAGTAGAAATTCAAGAGTTGATCAAAAAATCCCAAAATTTAGTAACCAGAAAGTTAAGTGACACTTAAAGAGTGATCATTGGAGAGAGAGAGGGAGGAAATCTTGACCATGAGTATTCAATAAAGGAGACGTCGGTGGGTGAGGTGATGTTTATAAATAGCTTTTGGAATGATTTTATAAAGAAATAATTTGGCACTTTTTTAAAGTTCGGACATTTATTTGGATTAAGAACTATTATAAGCTTGATTTGAGTTATGTTTTTGTCTTAATTGTGTGATCTTCTTAAGCTTAACCTGTATTTTGTGTTTAGTTGGTGAGCATTTTGTGTTTAGTTAAAAGACATGAGAATTGAGAAAAATTTGGCCTAAAAAAATTGGTAAACTTGTCATATTTTTCTTGCATAGGAGAAGACATATTACTGCAATTTTGGATTTAGAATTTTCAAAGATGTTTTGAGATTGATGAAAAGTCTATTCAAAGTGATAATAGATGAAGTAATCTTGCATATAAAGGATTTATTGGCATAAACATTGGAATAAACAAGACTAATCTTTGGAGTAATGTTTATCAATAATAGATGAAGTAATCTTGCACATAAAGGATTTATTGGCATAAACATTGGAATAAACAAGACTAATCTTTGGAGTAATGTTTATCAAAAGGTTTATAAGAATCATTTTTGACAATTACTTTAAACATAGTCTTTAGTAATTACTAATTAGTATATCCTCCAGGCTATTAACTACTCACTCAACTATATACTTATCTGGGAGCGAAGTAAGGGATTGTTCTTTTCCGTTGAAATTCAGTTCAGTTCAGTTCAACTCTTAATTTACGTCTAATGATATTGCTAATGATATAAAGCCAAATTCCATTCTTTTAAGCTCTTACAACAACAACAACAACAACAACAACAACAACAACAACAACAACAACAATAATAAATAATAAATAAATAATAATAATAAATAAATAATAATAATAATAAATAATAATAATAATAATAATAAATAATAATAATAATAATAATAATCAATAATTATAATAATAATAATAATAATAATAATCAATAATTATAATAATAATAATAATCATCAATAATTAATAATAATATGTACATTTGTATGTACACATATGTATAGTAATAAATAATCAATAAATAATCAAATATCACTAATCCGTAGTTAAAAATCACTAATTAATAAGTTCAGTTCAGTTCAGCTCAGTTCAGTTCAGTTCAGTTCAGTTCAGTTCAGTCAATCAGAACAGGCCCTAAGTTGGTAATTTTTTTTATTTTATTTTTTATTTTTTTTTACGAAACAATCTTAAGATGTATCTATAATTAAGTTCATATAGCATTTACATCACTACCTAAGTACCTATAATAACTCCCTACACCAAAAAATAAATGAAATTTAGGCCTTGTTTAGTTCACATTATTTTTACTTATTTTAATAAAATAAGTTTAGATCAGATCAAATCAAAAAAAATAAGTTCAGATCAGATCATCGTTTTATATGCATTTTTTTATCGCTAAATATCTTTAATTTCGTAATGAAAAAAATTCTAAAAATCACATATTAATAAAATACACATTATTACGAATCTAACAAAACCCCACTTGATATATTTTTTCAATATAGATTATTGTATATTTAAGGTCAAAGTTGGACAAATCTGACATTCAGATCAAATCAGACTAGACCAGACCAGACTAGATCAGATCAACAAATTATAAGGAGAACTAAACAAGACCTTAGTATACTGCTCCCTCCATTTTATATTGATAGTCTCATTTTGACTTTACACAATCTTTTACATGTACCTTTGACCATCAATATCTTTAATTATATATTAACAAAAATTATAAAGATTTGATATTACAAAACTACATATTGAGGCGAATACAACAATATATCTTATATTCATATGATTATATCAACGTATGCTTTTGGCCAAAGTTTCAAAAGGTTGACTATAAATAGTCAAAATAGGATTATCATATATGAGACGAAGGTAGAGCTGTCAAAAATTGATCCGATCCGAAATACTGACTCAAATGAGATTATTAACCGATCAATCTGAACCCGAAAAAATAGTGACCCAAACCCGACCTGACCCGACCTGAAACCAACCCTAGACCCGAGTTGATCCGGGTATGTGAGACCTGAATTTAACCCGACTTGTTACTAACCTGACCTGAATTCAACCCGACTCGTTCCTAACCCGACCCGAATTTAACACAACCTGTTACAAACCGGACCTGAAATCAACCCGATTTGTTATTGACCTGACCCAAATTCAACCCGACTTGTTATTGACCCGACCCGAATTTTACCAGACCTATTACTAACCCGACCCAAAAATTCAACCCGATCTATTACTAACCTGACTCGAAATCAACGCGACTTGTTATTGACTCAGCCTAAATTCAACCCAAATTGTTCCTGACCCGATTTCAAATCATCTTAGATGCAATTTAGCCCACCTTATTATTGTTGATCAAAGCATTTTGTCTAGGGAGACCAAGTCGGTCCAAGCCAGCTAAAGAAAAGAGCATCATCCTCAAATTTAAGAGTTAAATATAGTATATATTTGCCGTATGGTCAAAGGAGATAATTATCTTCCTAAATTATAAATTATAGTTCCCTAGTATATTGCCATATATATTATAGTCAAAGGAAATAATTAGCTTGATAAAAATGATAATTATCTATTTATAGTTAGTTGAACCCGAATATGACCCGACCTGATTGTAACCTGCAAATTATTGACTTGAACATAACCCGACTAGAGTCCGAGAATGACCCGACTTGGAAATGACTCAACCTGATTAAATTATAACCTGCAAATTATTGACTTAAATCGAACCCGACTTGAACCCGAGAATGACCCGACTTGAAAATGACCCGACTTGATTATAACCAGCAAATTATCGACTTGAACCGAACCCGACTCAAACCCGGGAATGACCCGACCTGATTCTAACCCGCAAATTATTGACTTGAACCGAACCCGACTCTAACCCAAGAATTACCCTAACCCGTTTTAACCCGTGAAAACCAGAATTAAACTCGACCTATTGTTCACCCGACCCGAATAGAACCCGACCCAAACCCGATTAGAACTATGACCCGACTCAAGCATGACCCAACCCAAACCCGACCCGCATAGGTTATGGAATTATTCCGAATTGACCCGACCCAAGTTGACCCGACACACTCTTACCAACCCAAACCCGACCCGTTTATCCAAATTGACAACTCTATCCGAAACCTCCGAAATTTCTCAAATAGCGTGGATATTAGCCTTCTATTTTGGAATTTTTTGACTTTTTTTCACTCGATAATAATAATTAACGAAATGTTTACCATGGTCACTAATACCCTCAAGGAGTTCAATTGCCTGGGTGGAACCATCCAATTTGTCTTTAAACGATCAATTTACCAGTTTACAACTTGCACCAATTTCATTAACTCAAGCTTACCACGAACATTTATGACAACATATAATGATCATATATGGATCCAAGCGGCATTATACGACCCCAAGATGTATCCCCTAAAATCTCAATCCTTTTCAACACCAGGCCCCTAAACATTCGAAATTTCTAAACAGGCCTTCAATTTTGGAATTTTTGGATTTTTTTTGCCTGGATATAAAAATTGCCGAAATGTTTACCATAGTCCCAAATACACTCAGGAAGTCCAATTTGGTGGGTGGAACCATCCAAGTTGCCTTTAAATGATCAATTTACTGGTTTACAACTTACACCGATTTCATTAATTCAAGCCTACCACGAACATTTATGACAACAAATAATGATCATATATGGTTCCAAACGACATTATATGACCCCGAGAAGTATTTCCTAGAATTTCAAGACTTTTCGACACCGGGCCCTTAAGACTCCAAAAATTCTCAAAAACCGCAGATATAACTTTTAATTTTTGAATTTTTTGACTTTTATTCGCCCAGGAATAAAAATTGCCAAAATGTATACCATGGTCTCTAATACCCTATGGGAGTTCAATTAGGTGGGTGGAGTCATCCAATTTGCCTTTAAATGGTCAATTCACCGGTTTACAACTTGCGCCGAATTTCATTAAGTCAAGCCTACCACGAACATTTATGATAACATATAATGGTCATTTATGGTTCCTAATGGCATTATATGATTTCGAGATTTATCCCCTAAAATCTTATTTCTTTTCGACACCGGCCCCGAAACCTTCAAAATTTCTAAAAAAGCATGGATATTAGTCTTTAATTTTTGAATTATTCAACTTTTTTTTTGTCCGGAAATAAAAATTGCCGAAAAGTTTACCATGGTACATAATACCCTTCCGGAGTCCAATTTTGTATGTGGAACCATCCAATTTGCCTTTAAACGACCAATTTACCAATTTACAACTTGCACCGATTTCATTAATTCAAGACTACCACGAACATTTATGACAACATATAATGATCATATATGGTTCCACACGACATTATATGACCCCGAGATGTATCCCCTAAAATCTTAAGGCTTTAATTTTCGACAACAGGCTCTGAAACCTCCAGAATTTCTCAAAAAGCGTAGATATTAGCCTTCAATTTTGGAAAATTTTTACTTTTTTTTGCCCGGAAATAAAAATTGACGAAATATTTACCATGGTCCCTAATACCCTTTAGGAGTCCCATTGGGTGGGTGGAACCATCCAATTTGCCTTTAAACGACAAATTTACCGATTTACAACTTGCACCGATTTCATTAACTCAAATCTACCACGAACATTTATTACAACATATAATAATCATATATGGTTCCAAACGGCATATATGACACCAAGATGTATTCCCGGAATTTCAAGACTTTTCGATACCGGGTCCCGAAACCTTCAAAATTTCGCAAAATGCGTGGATATTAGTCTTCAATTTGTGAATTTTTTGACTTTTTTTGCTCGAAAATAAAAATTGTCAAAATGTTTACCTTGGTCCCTAATTCCCTTTAAGAGACCAATTGGCTGGGTGGAACCATCCAATTTGCCTTTAAATGGCCAATTTATCGGTTTACAACTTGCACCGATTTCATTAACTCAAGCCTACCATGAACATTTATGACAATATATAATGATCATATATGGTTCCAAACGGCATTATATGACTCCAAGATGTATTCCTAGAATCTCAAGGCTTTTCGATACCGAGCCCTGAAACCTTCAAAAAATTTCAAAAACCGTGGATAATTAGCCTTTAATTTTGGAATTTTTAGACTTTTTTTCGCTCGGAAATAATAATTGCCGAAATGTTTACCATTGTCCCAAATACCCTGTGGAAGTCCAATTGGGTGGGTGGAACCATCCAATTTGCCTTTAAACGACCTATTTACCAGTTTATAACTTGCACCGATTTCATTAACTCAAGCCTACAACGAACATTTATGACAACAAATAATGATCGTACATGGTTCCAAACGGCATTAAATGACCATGACATGTATCCCCTACAATTTCAAGACTTTTCGACACCGGGCCCCGAATTCTCCTAAATTTCTAAAAAGCGTGAATATTAGCCTTCAATTTTGAAAATTTTGACTTTTTTTCGGTTCGGATAGAAAAATTGCCAAAATGTTTACCATGGTCCCTAATACCGTCCGGGAGTCCCATTGGTTGGGTGGAACCATCCAATTTGCCTTTAAACGACCAATTTACCGGTTTATAATTTGCACGGATTTCATTAACTCAAGCCTACCACGAACATTTATGGCAAAAAATAATGATCATATATGGTTCCAAACAGCATTATATGACCTCGAGATGTATCCCCTAAAATTTCAAGACTTTTCGACACCGGGTCCCGAAACCTCCAAAATTTCTCAAAAAGCGTGGATATTAGTCTTCAATTTAGGAATTTTTCGACTTTTTTTGCCCGGAAATAAAAATTGCCGAAATGTTTACCATGGTCTCCAATACCCTCCGAGAGTCCAATTGGGTTGGTGGAATCATCCAATTTTCCTTTAAACGGCCAATTTAATTGCCGGTTTACAACTTGCACGGATTTCATTACCACAATCCTACTACGAACATTTATGACAACATATAATGATCATATATGGTTCCAAACAGCATTATATGACCCTGAGATGTATCCCCTAAAATATTAATACTTTTCTAGACCGGGCCCCGAAACCTCCAAAATTTCTCAAAAATCGTGGATAATTAGCCTTCAATTTTAAATTTTTTGAATTTTATTTCGCCCGGAAATAAAAATTGTCGAAATGTTTACCAAGGTCCCTAATTTGCCTTTAAACGACCAATTTACTGGTTTACAACTTGCACCGATTTCATTAATTCAAGCATACCACGAACATTTATGACAACAAATAATGATAATATATGGTTTCAAACGGCATTATATGACCCCGATATGTATCCCATAGAATTTCAAGATTTTTCGACACCGGGCCCCGAAACTTCCAAAATTTCTCAAAAAGCGTGGATATTAGCCTTTAATTTTGGAATTTGTTGACTTTTTTTTTCGCCTGTGAATAAAAATTGCCGAAATATTTACCATGGTCCCTAATACCCTCCGAGAGTCCAATTGGGTGTGTGTAACCATTCAATTTGCTTTTAAACGACCAATTTACCGGTTTACAACTTGCACCGTAACCAAACTCGACTCAAACCCGGGAATTTCCCTAACTTGTTTTAACCCGTGAAAACCCGAATTAAACCCGACCTATTGTTCACCCGACCCGAATGTAACTCGACCTATTATTAACCCGACTTAAACCCGATAAGAAGTATGACCCAACCCAAACCCGACCTGCATAGGTTATGGAATTAATCTGAATTTACCCAACCCGAGTTGACCCAACCCACTTTTACCCGACCCAAACCTGACCTGTTTACCCGAATTGACATCTCTAGACGAAGGGAGTACAACATACACTTTATGACTCATCAAACACTCAAACTCACCATTGTAAAAAGGAAAAATTTTAAATTACCACCCAAATATGTAACCATTTTCAAAATAACCACCCGTTTAATTTTTTATTTTAAATTAACACCCTTTAAATTAAATAAATGCTCAGATTATCACCCATTTCAAAAAACCAGTGGATTTTCCGTCTGTGGGCCCGACCTAACGCTTATTTTGACCCCTTTAACTGATTTTTTCCTCAATTTTCTCTTTAAAAACGCTCTCTTAACTTCAATTCACATCTTTCTATTTGAAATTTGGTAGAATTTGGTGAAGGAAATGTGAACTAAAATTTTAGAGAGCGTTTTTAAAGAGAAAAATCGGGGGGAAAAATCAGTCAAAATGGTCCAAATAAGTGTTAGGTGGGGCCTACAGACGTAAAATCCACCGAATTTTAAAATGGGTGGTAATCTGAGCATTTATTTAATTTAAAGGGTGGTAATTTAAAATAAAAAATTAAATGGGTGATTAATTCGAAAATGGTTTCATTTTTGGGTGGTAATTTAAAAATTAACCTTGTAAAAACGTTATACAATACTTCATAAATTGGTAAGTGCTGCAATTATGATTTTATGGTTTTGCACCATTATTTTATTTGAAAAAGAAAACAACAATTATGACTCAATCTCAAGAAGAAATCTATTTTATTTATATACTGAGCACAATACTTCCTTTATTCTCAATAATTGCTCCATTTTAGCCAACATAGTTGCCAAGGTATTACTTGAATATACTCCGTAAGTATTACTTAAATCATATGACTGTATTTGATCTCAATTAAGCATAATCATTGATTAAAATGGTGTAAATAAATAGTGTAAAAATCAAAATAGAACACTCATTAATCCTCGTAAATAAAATAAAAATAAAAAATAAAAAAAATCTAGCAAAGTTAGGAAGTTAAAGCAACGAATCCAAAAACGCAGTCGTTTAACCTGAAAGCAAACTAAAGAACAGAGGCACACGAGTAAAAACGCTCTTCTCTTCTCCTCCCAATTTTCAAACTCTTCATCCTCCAATTTCCACCAAATTTAATTCTATTTTTGCTTCAAACCAATTTTGCAGGTATTAATTCGTTTCTTTTGAATTCTCAGTAATTTCTGTTTTGGGGCAAAAAAATTGTGGGTAATTTGGATCGACAATTATCTTTTGAATTATGTATTTTGTTCTTAACTACTGATTTTGGCCTTAATTAGATTTTTGTTATCTTTCAATTACATCTACTGAAGAAACTGATCATCATAACTAAATAGTAAACGTTTGTTCAGATTTTTGGTTAATAACGAACTTGCTTATTTTACATCTGCATACTTTGAGAATTTAATGATCTTGATTTTAATTACTACTGTAGTTGTGAGTAAATTGATGAACTATTGTTGTTTAAAACTTTGTATTACTTTTGCATTTATGTTGGAAGCGTTGTTCTGAGAATTGGAGCTTAGAAATTTGTAACAGTCAGTGTCATTCAGTTGATCCAGATACCTTAATTGGTGTAGACGCGAGGCCGTCTACTTATTTGTGGCGGTAGCATTGGATAAATATATTGATAATGTACATTAGAATGATTTTGAATCTTCAAGTACCAATGAATGTTGTTTAGTTATTTTTGGAATGAATTCAATAGAATTCCTTCTTAAGATGGTAAGAAGGAGGTTGGACGACGGATGAGTGGAGTTGTGTGGATTGGAGGATTGTGGAAAAGTCTTCTTAGTTTAGATTTGTAAATTGTGAGCCTTAGATAATTGGGTGATCATTAAGGTTTCTTTGATGTAGAGCGATTCAATAGACGTGATATGACCAAAAGAGTTTTAGAATTTGCTTTTAGCTATGGTTGGAGATCATTCCTGTAAATTACAGTAGGGTATTTTAAGAAGCGGCACTAATCTTTATTTAATTGGTGTAATGGCTTTGTTTGTTTTGTATACATTAGCACTTTTGTAGCGAATTATGCCATCTCATTTTCTATCTGTGTGGATCTGTGGTATTGGCAAAGATCATGGATCATCATCAATATGGAGGAGGAAGCTGGAGTATGATCCCCAACATTACGCATAACAACTTATCTACAGCCTCCACTCAAGACCCTCTCTTTCTCTCGTCTCAGCCCCAGCACCAACAGCAGTTTCATCTTCAGCAACAACAACAGCAACAGTTTGGCCTTCATCATCAACAACAACAGTTTCAGTCACCGCAACACCAACAATACATTCAGCAATCTCCCCAACAACAGCCACAACAGTTTGTTCAACAACAACTGCAACAGCAATTTGTTCATCCCTCGCCACAACAACAGCAGCAACCACAACAACAGCAACCTCAACAACAACAGCAGCAGCCACAACAACAGCAACCTCAACAACAACAGCAACCACAACAACAGCAACAGTACGTACATCCTTCACCACAACAACAGCAGCAACAATTTGTTCATCCTTCGCCTCAACAACAACATCAACAATTTGTTCATCCTTCGCCCCAACAGCAGCAGCAACAGTATGTTCCTCCTTCGCCCCAACAGCAGCAGCAACAGTATGTTCCTCCTTCACCCCAACAACAGCAGCAGCAATTTGTGCAACAGTCCCCTAAACAACAGCAGCAGCAGCAGCAGCCGCCACCACAAATACAAACACAGAGGTTTCAACAGCAATATGTACAGCAATCGCCCCAACAACAACAATTTCAGCAACCATCACAATTTCAGCAGCAATCACAACAGCTGCAACCACAACAACAACTTGTGCAACAATCACCACAACAGTCGCAGCAACTGCAATTACAACCACAGCAGCCGCAGCAGCATCAGTCACTTGCTTCTCATTTCCACCTCTTAAATGTGAGATTTTATTTGCTTAAAACAAAACCGAATGCTATAATCTGTTTTTTCTTATTTATGATTGTGAAAAATTGATGTTGCAGTTGATGGAAAATCTAGCTGATGCAGTTGAGAATGGGACTCGGGATCAGCATGCTGATAATTTGGTCTCTCCTCCTCTTTCTATTTGAGTTGTGTTACTTATTTTCTATTATCTGGGTTAAATTAAGCCAACAGATGGGGTATCTTATTGTGTTTCTTATGGGTGTAGATTGGGGAGCTGAACAGCCGCTTTGAGAAGTGCCAACAACTTTTGAACTCTATTGCAGGGACAATTAATTCAAAAGCCATGGTAAAATTATCCATGATTTGCAACTTTTATCAAGTGCAATGTTTGCCTGATTGTTTTGGCGGTTGTCTCTATTTGATTCTACTTTATTGTGGATAAGGTCCCATTTTTTTTTATTCACTAAAAGCTCTCAGATTTGGCTCGGTCATTAATAACCTGCAGACAGTGGAAGGGCAAAAGCGCAAGCTGGAAGAAAGCGAGCGATTGCTCAATCAAAGGAGGTATGATGCTCCGAAATCTCATGCATTTTAATGTCAGTTTTGTGCTGCTCTCTAACACATCTTTCTTTTCATGCCAGGGATTTAATTTCCAACTATAAAATTTCTGTGGAAGAGCTGATTAAATCGGAGCCCTGATACATGTTTGAACTCCAATTTCGGTAAGCACTTTGGGTTTGCATGATTTACTTAAAATTTAACTGATACCAAACAATAAAGAAATGACCACCGCATAAGCTGTTGTTTGAGTGTGTAGCTGTGGTATCAGCACTTAGTCTTGCTACAGAACTCGTCATTGAAAACTATAAAGATTGTCAGTAGAAGATACTTTGTTGTGCCTCACTTAATTTGTAGGTTATTGGAGAATTTCCTTTTGGTTTTTTAGTCTTGAAGGAAAATAGGAGAATCAGAATGTTACATATGCTTCCACACAAGGAAATAATTGAGCAGTGTGAGAAGATTATAGAGTGCTTGTATGGTTGAGTTTCCTTTTGGGCAGTTTTGAAATTTTAAATGAAGTATCTTTTTCTACTTTGATATTATGGTCTTCCTCATCATAGATTGGCACAATTTTATCAGCAGGGAGTTGTTTACATGGACTCCGTAGATCACATGTAAGGGATGTTTCCTCACATTGTATTTTAAGATTATTTATGGCATTAGAACTCAAAGTCTAGTATACCTTCTTAGTGTGGTCCACATTATGCTCCGTAAGTATTTAGTCCTGGAGGCTATTATGACTACTCTAATTGGTATTCTGTGAACCCTCTTTTAAATTTTGGTTGCTATCTAACCATAATTTAGATTAGGATTTGAGTATTCTGATTCTTAACTGATTTAGAATGCAAGGCAACCTACTTGGGGAAACCTTTCCGTAGTTTATTTTTTAGATTACTCAGTGGGTTTCAATTGTTTCATGGGCGCATAAATTCCTGAAATTCATGGATTATTGTCACTGGAATCAGCATGTAATTACCTACTGTAGTTCTGGATCCCTAGTGTAACATATACCTTTAGGCTAACTATCTGCAAAGATAGTTGAAACTTGAAAGCCTTCTCCAAATTTTTGCCTTGATCTCTTTACAAGGACTGGGAGGATGATGTTACGCAGGTGAGTTTGCCTTTGCCCTTTTGAAATAGGCTTGTGCCACCTGGCCGGGGTAATCTTTCATTTAAAGGCCATGAATATATTCAGGACCTTGGATTGCTCCTTGCCCCCACCCCCCCCTCCCCCTGCCCCTCTCTCATCCCTCTTCAAAACTTTATAACAAGATTAATTGCTCAGCCAGATTTTCAAGAAAAAATTTATTCTCGTACATTCTTGCCCTGAGATGCCATTTTGATCCACTACAAAAGGTAATGAAAGAACACTTAGTGTAACAGAATGCCTTTCCATCGTTGAATGAGTCCCTTGTTACTTCTTTTTTTCTTGCTATTTTGCTTCAGCTTCCCTCTCTCTATCTTCTCTTGAGCTAATCCCAAGGAATATAGCTCCATCTTTGCGAGGCTGAAGATAGCTTATAGTCTCACCCTAGATGCCCCACGATATCAAGATTCTATCCTAGCAATTTTTGGACAGCGGAACTTTTGAATCAGGTCTTTATGAGTTTTTCTTCTTCTTCTTCTATTATTTTTTTTTTAATCTAAGATGTATCGTGTACACATTCATGTTTTCTCTAGATGTCAACTGAGGATCAGAGTTACAGTTCTATTAAATATTGTTAATACCAAAGAAGTTAGCTGGGATAAATATTTGTGCCTCCTCCCTGCTAACTGCTATGTGTTGTTTGCTAACTTTGCTTTCTCCCAGGCTTTGGATTTCATGAAGGCTCTGGTTTGCAGTAACTTATGGCTCATCGTCTGGGGATTGCAATTTAAGATCAGATAGTAATAAATCCCACAATCTTTGAATGTTGATAGCAGTGCTTGGAACGTTGATGGTGATATTGTGATAATGGTTGTTTCTTGGAATAATATTCCTCGTTAAATAAAAGCCCCATTTGATCTGATAAAATGTGTGTGTAAAATATCATAATCTCAGTGAATTGGGGCAGCTTCTTGTTCTAGTTCTGTTCTTTTGTTTTCTTTTAAGGTTTTAGTATTCTTGCTCTGTAATAAAGATCATTTTTAGGTGCAGCATGTTCATGAATTACTAATATGTAATTTTTGCCATAAAACTTTCAAACATGTCTCAACCTCTGGTAGGAATTTTGGTGATTGTTTGATCAATAAGAAAAGCCTAGTTTGCCTTGTTGATTTTTCAACTTTCAAGTGTTATTTGAATGGATATTATCACTGTAATTTCAAGACTTGCCAGTTACCAGAATTGTTAAAACTTGAGACAAAAGGACTAGTTAGGCGTCCATATTCCAAGGAACTAAAAAAAGTCGTTGAAAATGTGCAACATGCGTGATAAGAGAAAAATAAAAAATCACACCTTATTTAGCCGTCGTGTAATAAAACAGGCGTTCAATAATTCTTAGTCACTGCATTGGTGTGTGAGGCAATTAGCCAATTATCAGCACTTTGTATTTAAAAAAGGAAGCAATTGAACATTACAAGTTCAACCAAATATGGAATATTAAAAATTAGAGTTTAGTGGCATGGGAGTAGTCATCATGCCTTACACAAGCTGAACTGCTGAAGGCCCTTTACATTAGAACTGAGAATAGGGAAGATTTCAGAGCTCATTACACAACCGAAAATCCACAAGACAGAATCCATTATGCAAAAGCTGAGTTCCATATTATTTACAACAAAGTTTGGTAACACAGACAAATGTGACGGAACCGATTTGAAGAGCCTATTAACTCATGTATCATTCATTATGTATATGTTAGTGAGGGGCCGGAGAGGAAAATCAGGTTCCATAATCAAGTAATCTGAAATAATATTACAGGATATGAAGGTTATACAGAACTAAGGTGTCCTTGCAACCTTATCATTCTACATGACTCCAAGCTTGCCTAGAGTACCTGTTCTTGGCGAGATTTGTAACTTATGATCTAACTTTGGCTAAACGTGCCCTTATCGCCTCCATTTCTTCCTCGTCATCTAAACCTTCAGCAATTGGCTCCTCATCCTACAAAGACAAGCAACCAAATTTTCAGCCACAGCAAACCAAAAACCTAACTTAGGTAGTCAGGTGAAGGAAATTTCAGGCTCACCTGTATGCTCGTGCTCTGTGCAGGTGCCTTGATCTTTTCTTTCCTTGCTGCAACAGGAAGCTGTGCAGCAGTCTCACTGGCCAACTCGGTCAGGATCTTGTCAACCTCTTCCTCTGTTTCCTCTTCTATGTCTTCAGAATCTAGCGCATCATCAACAGCCTCGTTGACAAACTCTTCAATTACACCAGCCTTGAAACATGAAAGAAAAGGCATGAATTAAAAAAAATAAAAACAGCATTAATGTATCTCTTATCACACAACAGGGGCAAGCTATGTGCCCCATGATGTCACAAGTTTATGTCCGCATCAACTAAGGCTTGCTCAACAGAGCAAATTCCTAATTTCTTATGATACCTTGTTCACATAAACAATAAGACAAATGACACACCATTTCATGAATCAAGAGTTCAAGACTCAGTTAGCTGAGTATTCACTGAAAAAATTCAAGTGACAACATAATGGTGAAATGAAGAATTGCGCTAGAAGCCTGAAAACTGATTGTTTAGAATTATTTTTTTTTTTATATAATATACCTTGGTCATCTCTTTGCTGAACTCTTGCATAGTAACAGCAACTTGTGGAGCTTTCATGAGGTTATTGACAAGTTTCATCACCTCAGCACTCTTTTGCAAATGACCCACTGTACGAGCAACGGCTGCAAGTACAAGATTCAAGGTGAGTTAATAAAGATACAAAATGTAGGGCACAAAGTGTTGCAACATAGAACATATGCTGGAGACAGATTGTAGGCAAAAGAGCCGTAGAAGTAATCAGTACTTACTACTGACATTGTAATGAATAACAGCAGCCAATTTAGCTAGCACAATTCTATTTGTCAAGTATTCTAACTAACATTGCAGGAGACAAACTTAAAAATAAAAAAAAACAACGGTCAAGGTTCATAACGTGTAATACAGCTCAGATAAATTTTCCAGCTTCTGTTTCAAGTCAATTCATTTGTGCTTCAGATTAATAATGGTTCAAAATCACTGCAATGTAAAAATTAAAGAAGTTGGGAAGGAATGAAAGCATATGACAAAGCCTATTTTCCATTCATCTCATGAATGAAGAATGACAGACAGCAATGCAAATAGAGAGAAATATGCTAGAAATTTACTTGTCGACATAAGATGAAAGTTAAAAACCAGTCCCTTATCCATGGGGAAATTAATACACTGCGAAGAAAATGTTAAAAGGACTTTAGGACCATGAATCTAAAGAGAAACAGCAGAAAACAGAAAATTGCAGAAATTGGTTGCTCAGTAATTGACAAGCATATCAACCGCCCCAACTAAATTTTAAACATATTGCAAAAGAAGAACGATGTAAGATCTCATATAAACTAATTTAAGTATTACATGAAGCATTATCATACCAACACTTTCTCCGAGATGCATTGATATTGAATTAAGTTGAGCTTTATTCTCATGAAGACGATTGACAGTTTTTCTTGACCTCACAATTTCCTTAGCAAGTGCCTGATACATTATACACAAACAATAGGTATAACTCTCCATTCGAAGGCACGTAAACATCATTACACTTCTAGCAAGTGGCATTTCACATTCATACACAAACCCTAAATTCTCAAAAATTAGATCACTGAAATTCAATGACATTGATGATAATACCTTTGCAGAACCCATGTCATTTCTCTTGGCAGCATCTCTAATTGCCTTTTGTACACTCTTCTCTTCCCTTTGAATATCTAAAATATTCAGCAAAAACCGAATCACAAAATCAAACAATCTACTCATTAACATCAAATTTTCACATCATCTTCAATAGCAAGAACTAAACAAATAAAGAAATGCGACGACATGCCTCGAATTTGGCGCTCGATATTACGACCCTCTTGACGAAGACGCCTTTGCCAATCTCTAAGCAATTGCTGAGGGTTTGGCTTCACCCCCAACATACTCTTCACTTTCTCCATATTCAATCTCTCCCCAGAAAACAGTACCAAATATATGATTATCAAGCTGACAGCAATCAATTAGGGAAAATGAAGAACCCAATTGAACCAAATTCTGTTTCAATCTAAAAAAAGTTAAATCTTTATCAGTTTGATCTGGGTTTCAATTGAATTAGGGAAATACTTTAGAATTCTAATATTGAACTAGGCGAAACACAAAATTAGCGATAATTTTATAAATAGAGATAATTAAGAATATGAAATCAAAGAAAAGTTGTCATCTTCGAGAAGATTAAAAGTCTAAAACTTGAAATGCAAAAAGTAATTACCAGATCAAGAATGAACGAAGGGATTCTTCCGCGGACAAAGAGGAAAGAGGAAAGTAGTAGCGCGAAGAATGAAAGATGGTAAACTACTCGTAGCAACAGCAAGTACCAACTTTAGCAATGGTACAATCTACAATATGATCTGATCACACGACAATCACCCGGAAATTTCACTCGTTCGTCTTTTTTTGTATGGAGTTATGGCTTTATGGGTGAAAGTTATTTGAATTTATTTTTAGTCGAGGAAATACAAATTAATCACCTTGATAAACTAATATTCACAGTGATTGAAACTATATATGGTAAAAAAGGAGTAGAGGACCTGTGTTCGATCTCCCAATGTTCTTAGAATTTCACATATTTCAGTGAGCATGATAGAAAATAAATCAATAATAGTGAAACCTATATTTAATAAAAATTGTTGACTTATTTACAAAAATGTCACTAGATAAACATTTTTTTTATTTTCTCTTCCCGAGACTTAGCCTCTCGTTTGCACAAAAAATAAATAAAAAAATTTGGGCTTATAATAGTTGTAAAAGTCAATATATATTTATGGAGTAGTCCATTGTATCAAAGGTAACATTCATAGACCGATATGCAAATATAAGAAATAGATTTTGATACAATGTAATTCTAGACCAAATATGATTGTATTGGAGTTAGTGGAAATTGGATTGGATTGGATTGGATTGGATGGAATTGAACCTAATTCAAATTCTAACTTTTATGCATCTCAAGTTAACAATTTATTTTAAACCACCGAATATAATACACTTCAATGTCATATTTTTAAATAATTGTTCTTTAAAAAAATTATGTAACTTGATAATTCTCATTAATTGATCCTTATTAATGATAATTGGTTAAAAATACCACCTTAACTAAATACACTCACCACATGACAATTTAAACTAACCACCCACATAGGAACATCACTTTAATCAAAATTGAAACATCTAATATAAATAGACCCAAGAGTCACCCAACAATAATATCCAATATATATTTTTACTTTTTTGACAGGAATATATATATATATATATAGAGAGAGAAGAAGGCTTATGTAAGAACCCTCCTCTATATAAGAACTCAATCTTATATAAGAACCAATCTCAACCATTTATTAGTTTTGATCCAACCATCTAAAATCATCCTTTAGTAATGGCATTTCTGTAATTCTTTTTTTATGTTCTAAATTTTTTTGCCTACTCTTATGTTCTAAATCTAGTCTACCTATTTTCTAAGTTTTTTTTTCTATGTTCCAAATTTAGTCTACTTATATACTAAAGTTTTTTTTTTTTTCCTATGTTCTAAATTTTTCCAACCTATGTTCTAAAGTTTTTTTTTTTTCTTCTTCTTATGTTCTAAATATTCTTTTACCTATGTTCTAAATTCTTTTGCCTATGATCTAAATTCAGTCTACTAACATTTAGAATATATGAAAAATAATTTAGAATATAGGAAAAAATTTAGAACATAAGCTAAAAAATAATTTAGAACATAGGAAAAAATTTAGAACATAAGCTGAAAAAAAAATTTAGAACATAAGAAAAAATTTAGAACATATGCTAAAAAAAATTATTTAGAACATAAACAAACAAACATTTAAAACATATGAAAAATAATTTAGAACATAGGAAAAAATTTAGAACATAAGCTGAAAAAAATAATTTAGAATATAGGAAAAAAATTTAAAACATAAGTTGAAAAAATAATTTAGAACATAGGAAAAAGTTTAAAACATAAGCTGAAAAAATAATATAGAATATAGGAAAAAAAATTTAAAACATAGGCTAAATTTATAACATATGAAAAATAATTTAGAACATAGGAAAAAATTAAGAACATAATCTAAAAAAATAATTTAGAATATAGGAAAAAATTTAAAACATAAGTTGAAAAAATAATTTAGAACATATGAAAAAATTTAGAATGTAAGCTGAAAAAATAATTTTGAATATATGAAATAATTAGAACATAAGCAGAAAAAAAAATTAGAACATAGAAAAACTTTAGAACATAAGCTGAAAAATTTTAGAACATAAAGAGGGGTTCTTATATAAGATTGAGTTCTTATGTAAGGAGGGGTTCTTACCGGATCCCTCCCCAATATATATACTACCTCCGTTTTTTATTATTTGCAATAAAGGGGTATTATTTGTGAGACATAAAATATTCCTTTGTTGCAAATAATAAAAAACGGAGGTAGTATATATATATATAGAGGAGGGCTGTAAGAACCCTCCTCTGTATAAGAACTCAATTTTATATAAGAACCCATCTCAACCGTTTATTAGTTTTGATCCAACCATCTAAAATGATCCTTTAGTAATGGCATTTCTGTAATTTAGTCTACTTATATTCTAATTTTTTTTCCTATGTTTAAAATTTAGTCTACTAATGTTCTAAAGTTTTTTTTCTATGTTCTAATTTTTTTTACCTATGTTCTAAAGTTTTTTTTTTCTATGTTCTAATTTTTTTTACCTATGTTCTAAAGTTTTTTTTTCCCTATGTTCTAAATATTTTTTTACCTATGTTCTGAATTCTTTTGCCTATGTTCTAAATTCAGTCTACTTATGTTCTAAAGTTTTTTTTTCCTATGTTCTAAAGTTTTTATTTTTTTTATTTATTTTTTTAATGTTCTAATATTCTTTTACCTATGTTTTAAATTTAGTCTACTTATGTTCTAAAGCTTTTTTTTCCAATATTCTATATTTTTTCAACCTATGCTCTAATTTTTTCCTATGTTCTAAAGTTTTTTTTCTTCCTATGTTCTAAATATTCTTTTACCTATGTTCTAAATTCTTTTTGCCTATATTCTAAATTCAGTCTACTTATGTTCTAAAGTTTTTTTTTTCCTATGTTCTAATTTTTTACTACCTATATTTTTATAAAGTTTTTTATTTTTTTTTATGTTCTAAATATTCTTTTACCTATGTTATAAATATTTTTTTTCCTATGTTTTAAATATAGTCTACTTATGTTCTAAATTCTTTTGCTTATGTTCTAAATTCAGTCTACTTATGTTCTAATGTTTTTTTTCCTATGTTCTAAATTTTTACTACCTATGTTTTAAAGTTTTTTTTTTTTTTTTTTTTTGTTATTTATAAATATAGCCTATGTAGGATTCGAACCTACATCATCTATGCATTTGCATAGTGCTCTACCATTTGAGCTAATAGTTTTTTGATATAGATCAACGCCCTCCCATAGAAGCAGAGGAAAACAATCACATGTAGAAACTCAAATGCCTCCATTATTACTACAACAACCACCATAGCTCACAAATTACCCAACACATGCTTACAAATTACCCAACACAACTACTACTAGGAAGTATTATCAAGTAAATTACAATCAGTCTACAAAGGAAAATATAGAGTTGGATGTTCATCCATTGATTCCGTTCTGAAAATTGCATAATTAGTTGCAAAACCAAACCAAACCAACATAATGAAATATGGGTATTCTAGTAATATTAGCTTATTCATATAAACTAATATAAAAATGAGTAGACATCATATATAAACACGAGTACACCACATAATGAAATATGGGTAGTCGGAAACTGAGAAATTAGTAATCTAAAACCAAAAATTGTACAATTATATACAATTATACACACAAAAAAAGGCTATACATACATCAGTCATTAAAAATGAGATAAGGGACCTTTAGTATGACAGAAGAATCCTCACCATCTGTCCTCCATCTTTTAAATAGCTTTGGACATTGTGGAACCTTAAGCTGTTTTAAAGACCCCATGCCACCTACAGAATTGGGAAATGGTTTGAGCAGTGGGCAACATTAAATCTAAAGCCTTTGTAAAGCAGATAGGTCACAAAGTGACTCAGGAAGTGTTATTAAGTCTGGACAGTTTCTAATTGAAAGGCAGTGTAGGTGGGTGAGTTTCCTAATCCACTCCGGGAGGGTTTTCACTTCATAAAATGAATTTAGTCCCCTTCGTATTTAGCATTTAGCAGCACAGACTACAGAAAAAATGAGCATTTGGAACCTTTTTCACACAGACAAATTAGCAAACACGTAGCAGGCATAAACAAATGACAACAAACAACTCATAAAACACAAATCTTTCAACAACACATTGCATTTTTAAGTATTCTGAATTCAAGTAACAACACATTATAGCTTAAATTTGTCAAATCAATTGGATTAAAAAGCTTCAATTATGGTATAATTAACAAGTTTAGAGAAAGAAATAATACCTGGTATAAAATCAGAAATCAGAGCAAAATTTTGAAGTTGAGAGAAAGAGTAAGGGGACTTGGGTTGGAGTTTGGGTGATTGAGTAGGGAAATCACATAAATTTCATAGGTTTTGAGCTTAATTATCTGTAAAAATCGAGTATCTAAGAATATTGCAGGATATTCCTCATATCTTATTTCTTTTCTGGTAAGTAACGAGCATTTGGAACCTTTTTCACTTCATAACATCCTACGTAATTCCACAATTTCAACCACAAATGTTTACCATTTAGCAGCACAAACTACATAAAAAACGAGCATTTGGAACCTTCATAATATGAATTCAGTCCCCTTCGCCATATGTAGCCCCTAGAAAACAGCCTTGGCTTCCCCCACCCCCGATTACCACTTTTCTAAGCTCTGAAACGCAGCACACAAAAGGATCTCCCCTGAACTTCCTCTACATGCCGCACCCAGCCAGAACATCTTTAGAACATACGACACTTAAATTTAGAACATGATCATGAATAATTGAACATGTAATTTAGAACATTGATACGAAGTATAATAATGCTAATCAATTAACCTAAGTATACTAATGCTGCAAATTACATCTAATCAATTCACTACACTGTATAAATAATTTATAGCATAGAACTAATTTAGAACATAGGCCAAAAAAAAATCGCAGTACAAAATCGTAGTATATTCCAGTATATTTTTCAGAGGTAACCTTACTAAATGAAAATATCAAAAAATCCTCGGACAATTACAGTACAAAATTGAACAAAATTGCAGTACAAATCAAATAAAATTGGAGTACAAAAATATTGAAAATTCGGAAAACATCGAACAAAGTTGCAACTGAAAATTCGAACCATAAATTGGAAAAAAAATCACTTAAAAAATCGCAGAAATCGAGCCCTAAAATAGCAGGCAATAAAATGTTGATGCAATTTCGAACATAAAACAAAAATCAAACATAATAGATGCAATTTCGTAACAAATTCCTTAAAAATTCGAGAACAAAAAAATTAACAAAAGCGCCGAAATTAAATTGCTTGAACAAACATACCTTAATTTACCAAATTGCAAGAGAAATGACTGAAAATCGCTGAAAAAGTCTTTCAATGCGCTCTAATAATGGAGATTTTTGGGGGTTTGAGGAGAGAGAAAACAACGAGATGTTTTTGTGGAAGGAGAGAGAAAATTAGGATTTATATGGAGTATTATCTTAATACTTGATTTCATCTTGACCGTTTAATTCAATCAAATTGTACGGATTAGATTGGTTCTTATATACACTTGGGTTCTTATATATCCCTCCCCTATATATATATATATATATATATATATATATATATATATATATATATATATATATAATCCATCATATAAATAAAAATAAAAACAATTCAAGGTTTAAATAGTTTATTACAGTATGGCATAATACTATTTTGGTTTTTCATAGGGAAAATTTAGTACTAAGTTTAATTTCTAAGACCCTATTTTTTCACAAAGCTTCATCACTTAGTCTAAAAATTTGAATGATACATTTAAATAAAAAAATAAAAAAAAAAAACAAAACCTTACAAAAATTAAATGTTTCATTTTGTTGGATCATACCTCTCATAGGTTATTTCAACCAATTTTAAATATCAAAACCCAATATCCCGATCGAAAATTACTAATAGGTAGAAATCATACCATTAGGTCAAACAATAATCTTGGTCAATTCTAAATCTATAATTAATTAATCTTAAATAAAACAAATAGCTTTAAATTTTAACCATTAATAATTAATCTCATATAACTATATAATTACAATATACAATTAAACAAATTGAGTAGTTTGTTTCGAATCTATATTAAATTTTAAATCTTAATTGAAATGGTAAAACATGTCACCACGTTTACTAATTTATGTGGAACACAAAGGACAAAATAACATTTTGTGGTTCTATCTAGACATTAAGAATCTGCAAATATTTTTTATTTAAAATTATTTTGTATCAATCTCTAATTTTCTATATATAGAATATTAACATTGAAATCTAAGACTAAGATTTTGAATATATTCTTATAATTAGTTTAATGTATGAAGGAAAAATTAATGAGATGCAAAAACTATAACAAATCAAAACCTTAAACTGTAGAAGTGGTATTAGATTTGCCAGAAAAATGACACCTCAATTGTATAAATTTAGAAACTAAAAAAAGTCCATAACAACTAACAAACCCTTTTATTTTAAAAAAATAAATAAATAAAAATGAAAAAACTTTGCCTTATGTACTCCTCCCTTCCCTTATTTCTCTCCCAACTTCACATTTCATCTCTTCCTCTTAAGCTGTATGAGAAAATAAGGGAAGGTAATGAAGAGCAACCCGAAAAAGTGATTGAGAAAAAAGCTGCATATTCGGTGGCAACGCAGCGAAAATCTCAGCACCATTCCCCAGCAAACAAGAATCATAAAACACAAATGAGCATTATTAGTTCCAATAGCAGCAGTAGTAGAATTAGCAATGGTACTCAGGCCTGCGCGGCATGTAAGTATCAGCGTAGGAAATGTGCCTCAGATTGCGCTCTAGCTCCTTATTTCCCTCATGATCGCCAAAGACAATTCCTAAACGCGCATAAATTGTTTGGGGTCAGTAACATTACTAAGATCATACGCAACCTTAATCCTCCTGACAAGGACATTGCTATGCGTACCATTATATATCAGTCTGATGCGCGTGCCAAAGATCCTGTTGGCGGTTGTTACAGGATCATTAGGGACCTGCACCATCAGATTGCATATTGTAAGGCTGAGTTAGACCTTGTTCTTCAACAACTCGACCTTTGCAAGGCTCAACTTTATCAACAACAACACGCTCAGTTATATCAGATTGCTACTGCCCTTACCCCTCAACCTCTGGACCCTGATTCACAGGTTGATGCAGGGACCCCTGTTGCTGATAATAATAACAATAATAATACTCAGGGTGCCGAGATTTTAACCTGTGATAACGATAGCTATCAGCAATATCAGGCTTTAATGCGCTGTTATTATTATGATGAGGCTGAACAAGGGAACAATAATGAGCAACAATACATACCTATTTCGCAGCAACAAGATCAGTATTCATGGGTGGCTCCTCCGAATGATGATGCAGTGTTAGCCTCATCAAATAGCAGCACGAGTCATGGTGACTGTTTTGTTATGAAGAATGATTTTGGAAGCGAATGTGATGGATTGGAGATGAAGCCGCAGATTCAGATTGTTGCAAATGGTGCACCTTATGATGATGACAAGGAATATGGAAGCAAGTTTGATGAGTCATCTACGCATGTTGATCTCTCGTGTTGTGATCTTCAAGGGGATGGATTGAAGTTTGATCATCAACAAACTACAGACCTCAGGTTTGCATAACGTTAACACGATTTTTAGATGTTTCAATTCATTCATAGATAATATTACTTCGTAGTATTGGTTCTTGCACAAACAATGAATCTTTCTGGGATTTTGCAGTGAAGAGGCGGCATTGAAGGAAGAAAACATTGTCCTCAGAAATCCAGAGGAAGAGTCTTTTAATCACATTTCCGAGCACGATCTAAGGAATGCAGCTACTTTATTCACCCTGACAAATTGAGCAGACAATGAAAATCTTTCTTTCATAGATTAGGCTAAGAGGCTATCCAACTTTTTTAAAGAATGGATGAGGAAATAGAGTTGAATACATTTGTAAAATTTTTGTTTGAATCGTTTGGTTCGCACAATGTTAGCGATTTTTTCCACATCTCCATCCAATGAAAGCCGGTGGTGACAAGCCATCGCAGCTATAGAGGAATAAATGATAAGACTTGCAGCAGTTGATTTGAAGGATCCTTGCAGATGTATGAAGGTGTCGATCATAGGAGTACAACAAAAGTTCAACCTTTGTGGAGTGACATGCAAAAAAATGATTCATAATTCACAGCATCCAAATCTGTACTTCATGCAACAGAATGCCAGATTTCAGCATTAGATTTTTGACTCGCATGTACAGAAAACAAATGAGGATATGTACTTCATGCAACAGAATGCCAGATTTCAGCATTAGATTCTGACTCGCATGAACTAATAACACATGAGGATGCGGTGTTTTGCACTTTCATCTAGTTTCTATTTTTATTAAAAAAAAATGTTATTCAGATGACAGGTTAAGAATGCAACTTCCCGAAATAATTTTTTAGATGCTCGAGGTCTAACATACTCCACACAAAGGGAGAATAACATCAAAATCAAGAACAAATTTACAAAAGAATTGCTGAAGTAAATTATCACAAGTCCATCTGATCCATGTCTGGCACACGTTGTCCAACACTGCTTTGTTCTGAATGCTCGATAATAATAGCTTCCGTTGTGGTCAGGAGGGAGGAAACACTGTCAATCAGAAAAGAAACGACTTACATTCTGTAAGAATGTATAATAGAAATATAGAAATGACTTACATTCTGTAAGAATGTATAATAGAAATATAGAATACTCCAAACAAAAGCTAATTGTGCTCAGGTGAGTCCCTACCTTGCAGCATCAGCCAAAGCTGTTCTGATTACTTTAACAGGATCTACAATTCCTGCTTGTATCATGTTTACATATTTACCTGCATCAACAGAAACGGACAGCAAATGTAAGAAGCTCTACTGGTAAACCTGCAAGTCTACAACACCAATGTCTAACCTTTCAAATTGGTTAGTCAGGGAGGCTCAGGTACATTGGCTTTGACATAGATCTTATAGTTGCATTTGGGCCGAACCTTTTTCAGTAACTTTTTCTAGTGGTTTCCGGTTTCAAATGTATTTAAGAACCTAAATTTAAGGGCATGTCCACTAGAAAGAAAAGTCAGCCCTAAGAAACAATGCCTAGGGATGGCTTTGGAATGTGTATCTTTTTTTGTTTTGGGTTTGTTCATTTTTGATACATTAGGATTGTAAAGTTCAATCTTATTTTTTTACTTTTGTGTGACGAGTGCTTTTTTTGTATTAAGATTTGGTTCCATTATTAAATAAACTAAATACGAAAAAAAAAAAAAAGAAGAAGAAGAAGAAGAAGGGGAGGGGGCATTGCCGCATTGGGTAGAAGGTATAGATGAAAAGACCATAAAAGAGGATACCTTTGGATGCATCATAGCCAAAATTGTGATCATTCTGCTCCAACAACTTGCCAATTACCAGTGAGGCTTCACCTCCAGCATTCGCCACAATGGTGAATGCAGGTGCCTAAAGATTTTTCAGATTCAATTATAAATAGACATAGATACACTCCCCAGAAGACAAGAAAATCATAATGTACGCAAAAGGAAACCTTAAGAGCATTTTGGACTATTTGAACCCCTCTTTTCTGGTCTTCGTTTTTGGTCTGGATATCATCCAGAGCTTTTGTTGCATAAAGGAGAGAAACTCCACCACCTGTGATTAATACTCGACATGAAAATGAATGTGTGAAAGATGGTGAAAGAGATTAGTCAAGAAAGGCCATATTTTTCTCCAGTGTATATATTGTATAAATGTAGACTCACCAGGTACAATACCCTCCTCCACGGCAGCTCTTGTCGCGTTCAGAGCATCAATAACCCTATCCTTTCTCTCGCCGAGTTCAGCTTCACTAGCACCTCCAACCTGTGCAATGAAAATATGTATATTTAAAAAAGTCCCAGTAAGAGAAATCAATCTTATTTCGGAAAGATAAGGAGGACCTTGAAGACAGCAACACCACCAGAGAGCTTTGATAACCGCTCCTGTGCCTTCTCTTTGTCAAATGTTGAAGTACTATTCTCCATGGAAGTTCTAAGCTGCGAAAAAAAAAATAATATTAAATCTCTTGATTCATACCTGGCAGTTTCTGCAGCTCATACATATAGAGGACTTCATAGCAGAAGTACACAATAGATCCTGGACAATGATAAAGTCTTAAATCCTAAATATTGCTTCTCCTTGGGCCTTGTACTATTATTTTATAATTCTCATCAAATTATCCCCATTGCCTTTGTTTTCTTTCTTCTATCAGCAAGAAATAATTTATATTATCATTAGCAAACAGGAACTCCTACAATGTACAAAGCTTTACACCCATTGTTAAAAGACAGTAAAGGAGGAGAAAGGATTTCTAGCAACACTCTCATCTGAATAGAATGTTGAGGCTGTGAGCTTTCAATGTACAAAATATTCAAGAAGCTTTCAGGGATTGATAGATCCTGTTATCCTTTTTTTCCCAAGTAGCTCCTCCAGCAAGCAGGCAAGTTAAAAGGCTACTAAACTTGGGAAGCCCATTTGTTATCATTATGCTGGCACTGCCTTGCACCACATAATCATCATTATATAAAACTTAGAAACCACTTCAACAATATGACCATCGCATGCCACAGTGACAGTTCACAGTTGTACTCTTTCATCAAACAATGCTGAAATATGTCTATATATGCATTCATGGACATAGCCGATTCTTTAATTTCCCAGAGCAAGTTTCATGGTAATACGAGGAACAAAGTTACAATACATACACTTCCTCCATTCTTTTAATATTGTAATGTTTGCACTTTTGACACTGTTTACACAATTTTTTTTTTAACTACATATTGTAGTTTATATGTAAGGGAAGGAGCAGTCATGTCAGGTCTTGTTAGAATTTTCTCGAAATATGCTTTCACAAAATCAACTTTATATTATTTTAACCATAATATAATCACAGATAATTAAGGTTTAAACTGTGCTAGTTTGATCGTACAAAGTTAACAACATACCTCTTCACAGCGCTCCTCTATCACCTTCTTGTCTCCGCCTCCACTTAGAACAATTGTGTCGTCCATAGAGATAGTAACCTGTCCCAATCCAAAGTCAGTTCTCAAAAGAAGAATTTTACACTAAGATAAATGGAAGCAAATACAAACCTTTTTAGCGGCACCAAGCATTTCAGCTTTAATCTTGTCCAGAGTCAACCCACGCTCTTCTGAAATAACCTGAAGAGTAAAATAATCAATAATATAACTAAACATGTTAAAAGTGCCCCAATACCCAATATGCAAATGCCACACCTCTCCTCCGGTAAAAACAGCTAGATCATCTAGGTTAGCTTTTCTGCTTTCTCCAAACCCTGGAGATTTAATGGCACAGACCTACAAGAAAGCATATAACAAATGACCAAAATTGTAATGAACTAAAAGTTGAAATTCTAAGGATCTCATATCATTGTAAAAGTTAGCAACTCAAAAGCAATGGACGATTCTTAAAAATCATATATCTTAGGTAGGTAACACAAGCATATCTTATCTAACATCAAAGACCTAGCAGTTGCACACTGATAAGGCACTCATAACGCTTACAGCAACAAAAGCTGGTATTACAATTCAGGTGTAGTACTAGTAAATTCACCTTAAGTCCAGCTTGATGCTTGTTAAGAATCAGCAAAGTGAGCGCATCACCCTCAATATCTTCCGCAACTATTAGTAGAGGCCTTTTCCTCTACCACCAAATCCATATCAACAAAACAAAATTATTCAACCACTAAACAAAGATTCACCTAACATTTCAGAACACCTTTAGTAGGTGAACAAGAAATTTTTTCAAAAGAAGTCAAACCTCAAGAGCCAACTCCAATACTTTAACGAGGGAACCCACGTCTGAAAGTTTCTTCTCGTGGATAAGAACCAAAGGATTCTCAAGTTCCTGTTGCATATGCATTAATATTAAATCTTCTACCAAATAAGATGAAAAAAGTCTAGTCTGCCTACTCACAAAGCACACTATGCAGAACTGCAAGGACTTAATCCATATAAAGAATATTTGAAGCAGGTATTCATATTACTGGCAGATGGAAGTATGGAACTTACACATTTCTGGGTCTTCTGATCTGTAATGAAATAAGGAGAAATATAGCCCCGGGCTAGCTTCATGCCCTCCACTACCTCCAATTCGTTATCCAACGTGTTTCCATCCTTAAAGTATAAGTGCACCACAAATGTGATTTAACCTTCTTCAAGTAAATTGAAATAGCATGGAAGAACATCAAGAAATCTACTTACAGAAACGGTGATTACACCTTCCTTGCCAACTGTCTCCATTGCCCTAGCAATAAGCTCACCAATTTCACGCTCTCCATTGGCAGAGATAGTAGCCACCTGTTACACAAGAATGATAAATTTTCAATATAAGGACACCATATGAGTTACATACATGCTTTTATTCGTACCATTTCACAAAGAAAGACACAATCTGAAAAAGAATTAACTGAAAGTTTTCAATCTAAGCTGCAAAGTTCATAATCTAGTGACAGGATGATAATTGCAAATTTATTAGGAATCTACATGATTGCACCTAAGACTGTCAAGAATTTCAAGGTCCAACCTCCCTTCAATTTTTCCTTGTTGATTTAAACAGCTCCTATATAGTGTAAGTCTTGCAGATCAAACTGGAAGGAGTTTGCTGTGCCCTTGAAATTGACAAAGATGTGTACAAGAATATAGATACATTGCTTAGGATATTCCTCTAAGAAGTTACCTGTGTGATTTCCTCTGGTGTGCTTATCATCACTGCTTTGCTCTTCAAATTGGACACTACAGCATCAACTGCCATAGTGATCCCAGTTCGCAGATCCATAGCATTTACACCAGCAGCTATGGATTTGCACCCTTCCACCAATATTGCCTGCGTCAACACAGTAGCACAAGTTGTTCCTGGACCACAAAGAATAATGCCTTAATTCAAAGGTACAATACATATTGACTCGAATGAACATGAGAGAATTGTCGATAATGCTTCTCTGCAAATTGAAAGCTAGTTCAAAGCATTCAAATATCAAGAGCCAAACAATAAAAAATCTCAACATAGGAGAAATGAAAAAAAGTAAAGTATGGAATGCGTGAATGACCATATTGCACTAAGAGAGAAAGATGATGTTTGTATATCTATCACTAAATCAACAATATCAAAATCACCCCAATGCCACAAAACAAGTCCTGCCAGGGCAGGATAAGGGACATAACCAATTGCTGAGATTATATTATTTCTATGCTTATTGGTAAAACTATTAACTGGCCTATGAGTTTTTTTGTAGTAATACGGTACTTAAAAGAGTTATAAGTGATCTTAGAGTTACAAACTCGTAACTCCTAAAAAGAAAGACAAAATATGATAGAATAGTGAACATTCTAGGAGCAAACTGTCCTAGGCATTGTGATAACGGTGTTCATAAAGCCAGATATCATGAAATCCAAGTTCCAAGAAAACTTGGTTGATCTAAGTGATAAATATGTGTTTAGAGCATTGCCAAATCAAAATCCTGGAAGTGCAATCAACTCCCCTCCCCTTACAAACCCCTCTCCTAGAAAAACGAGAACAATTCAACTCATTTATAGATTTAAACAAGTTCTTCAATCTGGAAGACATGTCAATTGGTGCGGTATGAGCTATAGGCCTAAAGCATGGCAAGGGAACTAACAGAGAAAGTAACTTACAGTTTCATATGTATTCTCAAACACAGAGGAATTTTCTATCAAACTCACTGATCTACTCAACAATGGGCAGTTAGATATTTAATTACTTATAACCTCATAAAAGCAGTTAACAAATATATGAGGCAATGCAAAGCTTGCAAGACTTTAAAAAAATTCAGCTTGAATCAAAAGCCAGAACAAAGGACTAAATGGGATGGAGTAAGATAATCACCATCTCCTGCAACGGTATTTGTGGCCTTTGCAACTTGTTTTACAAGCTCTGCACCAAGATTCTTCGTCCTGTCACTGAACTTAATGCTCTTGGCAACTGTAACACCGTCCTTTGTTACTTTAGGTTCTTTAAAGCTCCTTTCAATAACTACATTTCGACCCTAAATCAACATACAAAGCAAATAAATATTAAGATTCCAGCTATCTTCTATTCTTCGGCACAAAATATAGTGACAATATGATATTTATAAAAGCATGATCCATAACTCCCTCTAGACATAATCTTAATGTTTTTCTCAACTCATTCAGCATACTGTTTACTCGATTGAACTGCAAACATCGTGCTTATCGCAAAGTAATAATACAACCCCCCCCCCCCAACACACACACACACAAGTAATGCATATATTTAGGCATACAACTACTTTCAGCCCACTTAGTAAATGCATAATGGACTCAGGGTTTATACCTTTGGTCCCATAGTAACCTTCACAGCTTCAGCAATCTCATTAACCCCTTGCAGCATAGCCGCCCGAGCTCCCAAACCGAAATTGATATCTTTTGCACCATAATTTCTACTAGATATTATTCTACTGTTCACCTACAAATTCAAACAGAAAGGAGACTAAAAATCTTGCAAACGATCACAAATTTATACCCAATAAGTTAATATTATATCATATCAATAATTTTTTGTGCATTCACTAAACCCCATTTCCCGAAATAGATTAACACAACGAATGCAATAAAAATATCTTTTGATCAAAGTCAATCTTTTAGGATCAAAATGTCAATATACAGAAATCAAGATTTAATCTTTTTACTCTAATCTAGCATTTGAAAGACTAAAGTAGAGAAAGGAAGATAATACCAGTCGCTTTGAAGCAGAGGACCTGCACAATAAAGATTAGAAAATCAAAATTAAGGCATTGTTGATGATATACTTTTAAATTTGCGCAGTATTGAGCAAAAACAAGACCTGATTAATGAAGATGCAGCACGAAACATTGTAATAGTTGGGAGAAATTTGGAGTGGGGAGTATTCAGTAGGGTTTAAGAACAGTCGCACAGGAATGATGCCAAGTCTCACTGGAACAGTTTACAGTTGAGAGGTTTAAGAATTTTGAGCTTTGAGTGCTGTTTCGAGGTTTTTGGGTTCCGGGTTTACTTAATTTAGACCCGAATCCATTACTGTCAAGTTCAGTCGATGTGTCTAGAGTACAAGATGTGGAAGTTATTTAATTGGAAGTAAAAAAAAAAAAAAAAGAAAAAAAGAAAAAAGGTAGAAGAAATTTCAAGCTAAATTTGGGTTCAGCGACTTAAGAACGAGGACCCTCTCATGTTCGAGAATGCAAGATGTAGGATGGGTTGTGACTCGTGAGTCGAACTCAAGTTAAGGTCTTGTTCTCATACGTTTATTTTCAGTTCAGTTTAGTTCAGCTCCTAATTTCCTTCTTTTATAAAATATTCAGTTAAGTCTATGAGAATATGCTCTAAGTTGTGTAGATTATTTGCAAGCATACTCATTGATGCAAAGTCTACTTAAATTTTGTCTAATTTGAATGCAACCTAGGTCAAACCCCAATGAAGGGAAAGCTCTCCCAACAAGTAATAAAACTAATAATGTATTTCAAGACCTTAGTTAAGTTAGAACTCAGGTTAAGGTCTTGTTCTCATACGTTTATTTTCAGTTCAGTTTAGTTCGGCTCCTAATTTCCTTCTTTTATAAAATATTCAGTTAAATCTATGAGAATATGCCCTAAGTTGTGTAGATTATTTACAAGCATACTCATTGATACAAAGTCTACTTAAATTTTGTCTAATTTGAATGCAACCTAGGTCAAACCCCAATGAAGGGAAAGCTCTCCCAACAAGTAATAAAACTAATAATGTATTTCAAGACCTTACTTAAATTAGAACAACTTTCTTACCGATCGCCAAACTAACTACTCATTGGTGAGATCTTGTTGGTGATTTAATTTGAGTTGAATCAGGCACGGCAGTTACTAGCCCAACGTGTGATTAAACTGTACTCCGTAGCCAAAGAACTGAAAAGAGCAAAGACCTTCAATTCTATATTCCGCAGTTACTTTCGCACAAGAAACAACCAAAACTCAATTGAAAGTATCAGCAAAACATCCGAGCAACCCTTTGGAACTTCAGGTCATTTCTCTATCTCTCATTCTCTGTGTCTTTCTTTCTTTCTGTCAATCTCTCCCTACCCTAGATCATGTTGTTTATTTGATGGGATCTTAGATTTTTAAAAATTTTGATTTTTTGATACAATAACCCTGTGCCCTTGTTCTTGTTTGTTGTCAATCAAACTAGTAAAGTTGGAATTTTGGCAATGGATGATTTTTAATGTAAACTCTAACTTTATTGGGGAATTTTAACATGGGTTTTGATGGAAAAACTTAGAAATGCCCAAAAAAGAGAACTGATGATTCAAGATGTAATTTTTCCTTAAATTTCTGAAGTAACTCACTGGATTAGATGGTGAAATGTAAAAATCTAAACTTTGGTTTATAGTATAATGATACATAATAGTTATTTCCAATACTCAATGCCCTTTGACTTGAGTTTTTGAATTTGTGGATGATAAAATTCATAATGTTTAGTTTACCAGATAGTATATATACCTAATTACCATGGATGATTCCACTATGTAGGGTTTGTGAAATAGTTGTATTACTGTATTACTTTGCTTCTCTTCTCAGTTCTTACAAGCGGATGCTAAAAATATGGGTGTTGTTTGTGCTTGTAATTCATTCTCTACTGAAATTATATAGATTTTATATATGAATACTACAATAGAGTTTTGTGCTTGTGTTTTTTTTTTTTTCTTGACATCATGTTTCATTTATGCCGCTTTACGCAAAAATTCGTGTCTGCTTGATGTTGTAGACATTGCATTTGTTCTTTAACAGCTCAGACAAACACTTAATTACATGCTTGAAATTATAGGAACTCGAGCATTGCTTTGATGTTTTGTTCATTGGCTGACCCGTCTTTGATGTAGAATGGTTTTCTTGTAGGCCTTTAGAATTGGACATCCACCTTGTTAGTAGGAACTAAGAACTATCTAGAGTTTTGAACTCTTTGTACCCATCTTTTCCTTGTGTTAGAGGCTTTGTGCATAATATGTGCTTAGTGTTGGATACTTTTTAACAATTTAATGGTCAACCTATGTTATTGTTGATTGAGATGCATTTAGTTTGCCAATTGGTGGTTCATTTTTTACCCAAAAGATGAGATTCTTGGTTTAGTCTTTCTGACTGACAAAGAATAATCTTCCTGGCAGCTCAAAATATGACATGTATGGGGGCAGCATGAGTCTTGAGTGCTTGAATTTCTTCTCAATCTTTGCCTCTTTTTACCTTATTTTTCCTTAAACTTATTATTGTCCTGATGATTTTGTGCTTGTTGGTGCCCAAAAGTCCCAACTCCATGAGTTTTATATACATCGTATATGCTTTGCTTATACTAAGTGACCATGATTTTGCGAGTTACAGGACTTTCTATTTGTTAGGTGTTAGCTGGAAACACCCAGGTCGAAGTGTGGCCGCAATTCAGATAATAATTCCATTTTACCATATCCACGTGCAGTCGCATTCACACATATACAAATAGCATGTTTGGTCTTTGAAATGGATCAAATCATTTTGAGATTAGATACATGATTTAATTCTGGTAAATAATGTGGAATAAATCTGTGACTATGTAACACAGTAATTGATGACCAGCCTTCACATGATCGCCTGAGTTGTCATACGAGGACGTGTTTAGGTTTTTTAAGTACTCAAGTTAGCTTATAAATCCATTATGTTCTTGCATACATGCTTTGTCTTGATGGTTAATAAGATCTATGTGATCATATTCTTTTGCAACTCATCAACCTGAAACTTTGTGTATAGTTCTGTAGTTTGAGATTTAGGAATTCCTGCACTTAAAAGGAAGTTAAGTAGTATGCTGGGACCCTAAGCTTTCATATAAATACATCTGCATATATCTCTATCTCAAGAACTATAAAAACAGTTATCTATCTTGCTGGTGGAGCAGGATCTGTGGTGATTTAGATATATTCATCTCACCTATACTAGCTGAAGCTGTTTCCTATAGTATCATGACAGGGTTTGTTTCTGCAAGAAAGTGGTAAATACACGAATAAATAAAAATGACCTAAAAGCAATTTAATAAGTTCTTTAATAACTTGATTGTCCTGTAAGTTACTGTAACCTTGACATTATTATGTTACATGTTATACAGAAAAGGCTATTGAGTGCTTGTTTTGAAACACAAGGCTATGGAGGTAAAACCAACTGTTGCCTTGAGGGCAATGCTTGTCGGAGGAATAGCTGCTTTTGCAAAAATAGCTGGTGCAATGAAAGCTGCAGGAGGTGTTAAGTTGGGAGCCGCTGCTGCTGCTATGACTGCAGCAGCAACTGCCGCAGTTTCTGGATCAAAAAAGGATCAACCAGATGCCTCTGGATCAAAACAGAATCAACCAGATGCTTCCAAGCCGCCTGCCAAGTGACTTCTTGGACCGCCTTTTTCCTTACCTCAAATATTCATTTACAATGATGGCCAGTTAATAATACCGATGAGTACAATAGTTAGTGTTCCTAAATTTTATGGCAGGAATGCACTGATTGTATAGCTCATGGTTCTTGTAGTTTGCTAGGAATGAACTAGTCTTTTTGAAGGAACTAGTTCGTTTATGTGACTGTATCTGTAAGAGGATGTGACTGTTGCCATGAATGTAAGAGTATGTGTAAACCAAATTGTATGGACAGATTTAAATCTGCAGCTTGCCTCTTATACTCAAGTTTTTAGTGGCAGGTGCAGATAAATACTTGCAGAGAATTTTAACTGGTATTGTTTGGCAAGTATATTAATCCCTCTATTTCATAATGTTAGTCCCATATACTATTTTGGGCGTTTCAAAAAGATCTACCCATATTGAATATATTTCATTTATAACTTCAATTTTTTTTTTTTTTGAATTAATTGATTGTGGATTGATGACATGACTCTAAGTAAGGAAATATTTACCTTAAATCATGCAATTATAACTTGTGCTTTTCTAATAAAAAATCAAAAAAGTAGAATAAGGTAAACTAATTATGAATTATGTTGTACTTTAATGTTAGATTCCAAATATATTTCTTTTCTTATTTTATGTGACTGATTCCATATGGGACTAACATTAAGAAACGGAGGGAGTAGTAGTATATTACTTGTGGAAGAAGAGGGAGTTTGCAAAATTTTACAGCTTCTCAGACTTGTTTGCACTCATTAGTCAGATAAACAAATTATCAAATATTTTCCAAACATTTTATATCCAAATTAGAAAATTTGACTCAATCCAAAACCCATATAACTGCAACTGAATAAATCATTCAATCTGCCACCAATGATCAAAACGTGCAAGTTGCAACATACGTAGTACAAGTGTAGAGGAGAAGGCTAATAATAATAGTATAAAAAAGCATTTGAAAAAAAAAGAAGCCTACATTAAGTATTCAACAATTCAAGTTTCTACAACAAATTCTACTCTATTACAAAGGGTCGTATGATCATGATGCCCTTGTAATCTTGTATATTCAAAGCTTGCGACCAAACCTGGTTGTAAGATTGGTATGTAGCGTAATCAGATACTTAAATAAGCAAGGATTTGGATCTACTTCTCCATCTTTCTTTTTACACTGATGTAACTTTAGGCAGTTTAAACAAGTACAAAATCAAACAGATGCAAATGCAATGATTAATTTTGGCATAGACTATTTGTAGCAGGTTTCTACTTGTTGGGAGTGAATGCAGCGCTTTGTATTTCACTGATGTTGTGACTTTATATTTCAAGAATGTTTGAACTAGTTTGACTGCATGAGAAATCCTCGTGCTGAACAAACCTGACCGCAAGATCTGTGTTTGGAGAATCGAGCTCAAAGAGTACCTGAAATGTGAACCTGCTGATTACTGAATTGTACCTAACTTTTAAATTCCACTCGAGTAATTTGGTAGCAAACGGGATATATGAGGGAAGCAAGAAACGGGCAACATGCTACAATGAAATCGTAGCATAGAAAAAATAACTAACCACTGTATTACTCCCATGGCGAAGAAGTGGAGCAGGGACATAAAGATTGCACTGTGGCCCAAATGTCTGTAAAAAGAAAAGTGTTATTCTAATGTTCTTATTGATGAATGTATTGAAAAATGATTCAAAATCAACTTAAATTAGTAGTAATATAAGTATCTACCGGCCAATATCGTCCTAAATTGAAATTATTGATGAATGCAAGCCCTTTGCCCCAGCCATCTACTGACAAAAATGTGTCTTTGACTTGATTGGCACTATTGATAGTAAAAGAACCGGTGTAGAAAGCAGGTTCATTTGATATGTTCTCTGCAGAGGCATAGAAAACAATGACAAGTAAACACGAGTACAACACTGCTTCCAATATAAGAAAAATAGAAAATAAAACAAGATAATACTTGTGATTCTACTCGTAAGATCCACAAAAGAATGTAACAGAAAACATACTGCTCTGATCTTGCATACGTTTGCCTGCATGTACTGTACTGAGGTCATTGCCAGCAAGCTGAATTATGGAACTACTCTGATCATTCAGATTGTGGAGTGGAATTGAGAACATTTTCCAATTGTGAAGAACACGTCCGTCCACATAGACAGGAGACAATATTCCCTGAAATAAAATCACAAAACTGAGTTGAAAAGGTAATATACAAACCTCAGGCCTCATTCTAGTCACCTAAAGATAACCTATATATATACTCCGGGAAAAAAAAAAGAAAGAAAAATTAAACAGTTTAAATTAGTACAAATCAGTTTTGATCGGTATAAATCAATAAAAGTCAATTTCAATCGCTGATGTTCAGTTTGAATCAGTAACTTCATATTACAAAATATATTAGTGTAAATGAAATCAGTTTAATTAGTAAAAACCGGTTGCAATCAAAAATCAAAATAATTAATAGAAATCAGGTGAAGATGAGAGACCCTTATACATCCAAAAACATAGTACAGGGGAAAAAGACATAGTGAATGATTTTAAGCTTGAATAGAGATTAAATATCTGTCATTGAGAACATGTTTTACTATTATATTATATGGTACACCGTAGAGCAGTTCATAAGGAATGCCTGCTGTACTTTGAGAAGCCACAAAACCAACATAACTTCTTTATAGTGGGTATTAAAGCCAAGGGACGATCCCCTAAGTTGAATAGCTCATATGCCAAATAAAGGTGATCATAAAGCAAAATTAGAGACTGGAACAACTTTCTTGTAGTTGGACTGTTCTAGCCAAAGAGATTCTGTGTACTCAAAAACTGTCTTTCGCCTTTTTTTAAGTTTTATGATGCCAAAAGATATAATAGCCTAAATAAATCATATAGGATAGCGATATTAGGAGAAGAGAGAAAAAATGAGGGTGGAGGTGGGGTGAGGGAGGGGAGGGAGGGAGGGAGAGAGGTGACCTTCCTGTCAGAGATGTAGGGCCCATAATTAATCCTGCCCATGTTCTCAACCTACCAACACAAGAGCAAAGCTAACGTAAGGTAAATAGTTGACACAGAAGAAAAATATCATATTAGATGTTAACAAACATAAAAAAGTAAACTGTATCAGAAAAGAGTTGTTTAGAATTCACCAAAAAATCAAGGCATATTAACTGGAAAAAGGTCACTAAGACATCTTAGACAAACACGGATAGAAAAAATAGTATGTTGAGAGCTCAATGGTTACTGATACAAATGCACCTTGCAAGGTATTTGTAGCAGGCTAGCAGCAGTAGCACAACCACCTAGCAATACTTCCATATAGGTATTTCCATGAAAGTATATGCAGCCTCATCCCTACAGAAGCAGCTATTAGAGGACCAGTGACATAAAAAGTTTTTAATAGACAACCTTATTGTGGGATCACCTCTCATTTTAATGATCTTCTTCATCTACATAACATATCCAGTATTCTAAGTTCATTTTTCACTGAGGCAATTGACAGAAGATCTAAGGTGAATTTCAGGGCACATAAATATGGAGAGGAAAGATAATCTCAGATACCAGAACAAATAAACTGATTTTTGAAACACACTTCAGATGAGGAAGCTTAAGTTCTTTGTTGGACCATCTCTCAATTATCCCTGCATAAATTGGTCTTCCTTGATCTTTGGAATGACATGAAACAAATACCTGGGCTCTATCATGCACCTGCAAAAACAAAACAAAACAAAAAAATAAAAATAAATAAATAAATAATTAAATAATTTTGAAATTACACATCAAGAACTCTTTGAGCTCAATAACAAGGAAGTTTACACACATACAATCATTCAAGGAGATTCTATAATTCCATGTTGATTTTCTACAAAAAAAAAAAAAAAATATCTTGCAAGCATAGGCAATCAAGGGCTCGTAGCATTAAAATGGCTGGCATCCATATTTTAAAGCCACTGCCAGAAACAGCTTAACTGTTATCATGATAACATGGGTTTACTTAAATAGGAAAGTAACATTAACGCATCACTTACTAATTACTATTATTAGGGAGACATTAAACTTTGTGTTCATATGAACAATTAATCGGTTTTTGATAGAATAGGGTGTACAAATACCACAATTTGACAAAAGAAATATTGTAGGAAGTTAGAAGAGATGACAATAGAAATGAATGTACAAGGATTTTAAATCATACCTTTGATATACTTAAAGTGCTAGCACTATCACGTTTACTAAATTCTGATATGTATAGTAGAAATCCATGCATCTGAAACCAGGAAACAAGAGTACAAGAACGAAGCTTTAGCAGAAGCCATCTGGATCATTTAAAACATACTCCCACTCAAGCTCACACTTAGTTCTGTAAACTGGTATACTTCAATCTTAGCTGTGCCAATTTTGGTCAAAGTGGATATCACAATAAATTTTATAGTGATTTAGCAAAATTAATAAATGAACTACTTTTCTTTATACCTTTTTGGTCAAAGTGGAGTAGTAAGTTATACCCTTTTATTTTTCCTTTGTTCCGGGAGTGGAAGTAATATTCCAAACCATGAGAAGGTAGCATGTAGCAATAAGTTATATAGAGACAAACATTGATCAAGTTATAACCTTATAAGTAGGTACAAATATACAGCTATCAATAACTATGGACCAGACATTAATAACTGTTCCCATTTTTCTTCCTATGATACAGAAAGTACATGCTTGTTTTCTCTTTTGATTCAGGCAAACACTAAACATCAACAGAAATGTGTTTCAAATCCAAACCTACTTGTCAAACATAATAACAAGATAATTGAAATTAGACGAGCAGATAATAATAATTATATATAAAAAAGTAACAATTCTTAAATTATAAAAACACCTTCCTATAAAAAAGTAATTATGAATTACCTGGCCTACAGACTCCATAGAAATTGGGTTAACAGATTCAACAACATTGGCATCATCTTGAATACCAATGATATCAAACAATTTTGAAGTTTTCTCTAATTTAACAAATCCATATCCTGCCTTCTCATTATTGGCAGGGATCGGAGGAAGACTTGCCACAGTATATTTCTCTATAACCTTCCTTATCGCTGAAAATCAAATTTCAATAGCATAAAATGACAATCAGTATATACAAGAGTACCTGCACAATACATATTACATAAAGTTTCGACTTTGGAAATAAAGACAATATAGCATCTCAGTAACTACCATAGAGCCATAGCAATGTTACTAGATTCTCTAATTCCCACACAAACCACAAATCGAAAGACTAATTTATACAATGAAGAAGTACATCATGGGCTCTTGGCATAATTTACAAAATTAGGGAGCGAATTGCATTCCCATATCCAATCCTGTTACAGCGAGTTAAGTAACAGTGTGCCATAGTACATT